GACAAGCTTGATCACGGTTATCCGTGTTCAAGTTCACGCTCTTTCTGCTGCTTTTCCAAGAGGTTACCCCGTCTTGAGTCCCATACACGCTCGGCACGTGCAAATCCCAACCACCCAGCGACTTCATCTCGTGTCAGGTCACACCGCGTCATTATTCGCGCCGATTATGGGACTGGGGACGTCTGGGTCAGATCCCGTCTGCAGCTTCGGATAAACACCGGACCGGGACACGCCTGACCGTCTGGCCTCGTCGCGCGCGCTCTGCCCGTGCCAAGCAGGGTACGTGCGCGGTCGCCGGCCTTGGTTACAAATGAGGTCAGTCGGCTCCCCTTTATTGACAAGATCTTTAGCTCAGTCGAGCCAAGCTGAGGTTCCCTCAGATGGCACGTTCGGGCCCGTGTTGAAAGGGAGCCTTGGAGATCCGCACACCCAAAGCATTCCACCAGCCCACACCTCACTACATCTACATGGAGATCCGCGCACCCAAAGCGCTCCACCAGCCACCTCATTACATCTTCATGCGGGCGGGTATCAGCCATCCACGAGCGTTCACAAATCACCACAAACAAATGGATCGACCAAGGATACATTTGTTTAAATGCTTTATTCCAGTTCATGTGGACACCTGATATAACAAAGATGGACCATACAAATATGTGTACAGGAAAAATACGGTCAAAGCACATAAGATCAATGCTTGGGTACCAGCGGGATGTTGCTTGTATATGCAGTCACACCCGCGGTCCTACGGCCAGGCTAACATTATTAAAAGCTACTGAAAGCATCTCCATCACAGCATCAAACACTGGAAACCGGGTTCCCCATCATACGGACAGCGGTTCAAAACTCCCATCCACCACACCTTTCTTACCGCAGCCTGGGACTGGCGCAGAGTGGACACCGTCCTCCGCGTCCTCGCCAATAAGCCGGACCACGACAGCGACGGCGACACATCGACCAGCACCGCAAGACGGCGGGAAGTCGACGCTGCCTCAGCCTCACCCGTCATACACATCACATGGTAACGTGAGTAGGCGCCTGTCGCTAGTGCACGAATACGCGCCCGAGCACGCGCCCGCGCAGGACACGCCGGTGGGGCGTCATCACACTTCTGCCGCCGACAGCCGCGTGCCCAGCTCGCAGAGGAACGAGTGCAGGTTCACGGCCGCCTGGCGCGTGCCGCGGTCGGTCATGCGCTTGGGCACCATGCCGACGCGGCAGGTCGAAGTTCATGAGCCACTCGACGACGCAGTGGCGCGGCCGGTGCACGCACGGCCGCAACCGTCACGATGGTGGGCCGGTGACGGCGCGCACGAGCCGCGAGTCGCGCGGGTCGTCGCGGTGGTCGATCGACACGACGGCGCTGAAGAACATGAGGCCCTTGCGGCCGGCCAGGCGCAGGTTGACGAAGTCGCGGGGGGGAGATGACAACCGCCGAGGAAAGGGCCCGTCTGCTGGTAGCGCACCTCGCACTGCGCGTCCACGCGCTGCAGCTGTCGGCACACCGTGATGGACTTGTTCCACTCAGGGCAGTGGTTGCAGTTGTGGATCACCTCATTGGCAAATATGTCGGTCGGGCAGGCGACTGTGCATGTGAACATGAACTGTGTGTGACCAGCATGCCTTCTGGAAAAAGATGTAGTCATCATTGACAATATTCTCTTCCTGCTTCCAGTCAGAGGAGTTCAGCAGGTCTAAAGCCTGGCGACAGTTCTCCTCTGCTTGTTGCCTAAGTGCCCGTAGCTCCTCAGTGAGGGCAGCACGGGGTTTGCCAGCAGTACCTCCCTCTTCATCTTCATCATCAGAACCCTCAGGTGTACCCATTGGAGAGTAGAAATTTGCCACACTTCCAGTGCATGTTGAAAGGTAGTCTCTAACTCGCTGCTGAGCTGGATCTACCAATGGAGTTTGCCTGTGTTGCACTACCATATCTTCTTTGGATAAGAAGCCTGGCCCTTGCTTCTTGAGGTATCACTCTGTGGTCATACAACCACACTTCCAGCCAGCCAACTATGAAGAAGGAGGTTATCAGGGTAACCTGGAATGTGTTTGATGATGATGCATCCCACTTGAAATACAAGATCTTCAGAAGACAGCCTACACTTGTTGCAGCTGTGGTCAGAGGCAATCATCCACCAGTGATCAATCCTAATTACAGCATACATCAGTATAAGAAGCATAAATCGAGTTAAACTTGCAGAAACAACATCAAAAAGAGATGTTTCAAACTGAGTAGTGGACAATTTGTTCCTTAAGTTCCAGTGAACACATTCTCCCCACTCATAACTACACAAACTAGCCAGAAGAGTGTGCACAATAGCACATCAAACGTCACTAGGAGGCAGAAGAACCTTCTTGCTGGTGAAATGCGCCCGTTCATCTCCAAACCTGTTAACCAGTCTCCAAAATCATAGTCTGTTGGTGTGGAGTTGACGCTCTGCACAAGTTGACTAGTGCTTCCGCTGAATTCCCGAGCGTTGATGGACGACGTGCCGACGCTCCCACTGTCCCCTCTCCGACTGGACGTCAGGCGCTCCGTCGACATGATAGAGCTCCGCCGACGGGAGCGTTGCCACTGTAGCGAACAAAGGGTGACCTTTCTCGGCTAATTTTAGCGACACAGAAGCACTGCGGTTGCTGGAACCAGCGTTGAGTCACCGGCCATATCAATTCAGTGACGACCTGTTGTTCGACAAATCAATCTGGTTCTCTGCAACGGCAAAATATCTTACACAGCACCACAACTCCACACAGCACTCACCGCGCTCAGCAAGCCGAGACGGAGAGAGTTAGTTGGGCTATTAGCTAGTATATTCCTGCTAACGGAAGAGAATATACAATTATTTTGAGAAACGTTCACTTTCGAAAAAATGTTTTTCAACGTTATATTGGCTCATTAAAGCCCGTTTCCCAATTTTTTTTTTCAAAAAATTTTCGCCATAAGAGACCAACGAATATTTCTACGCTCGGAGGACACCAAAAACAAGTATAGTAGGAAAGTGTACCAGTTTATTGTATCAGCTGCTTGCCAGGTTTTTGTGTAGACATGATCGGCTTTCTTGTGACGAACATGGTCTGCAGCAAAACGAGTATGCAAATCACGTTGAGTGAGTTGTGTTAGATAAGGAACTTGGCATTTGACATAGCCGTTGAGGAAGGGATCGTGACTGTGGGCAAAGATCTTTAACTGTGAACTGAGCTTCTTGTTCAGAAAGGTAAGCTGCCCAATGTACACAGTGCGTTATGTCTCGGTTATTTAACACCACTAAATACACCGATGCCCGAATGGGTGTGCGTGGTTTGCCATGCTTTTTGCGGCATGCAGCTAGTATAAATGTGTTTGGGTCAGTCGTAAGCGAAGATTCAAGGGCATAGTTTCCTTTTCAGTTGCGGGCCTAAACCCCTCCTGCCAAACTTGGGCTTGAGGCTCACCCCACCTTTAAATGAAATGAGCCAAGGTTGAGGGAAGCATGCTTCTTGGCACATTTGGGGGTAAGGCTGGGGCTTTTTTCGCTGTTCCATGACACATTTCATGAAACTTAATCCCTTGCCCCACTGATTTTTCCTTAGAGATGTCTGTTTGAGTTTGCATCCTGTGGATATTTTCCTGTGATGCGAATCTACCCCCAATGAAACATGAGATGCTGGCTGTCATGCTAATCTCATGGATAAGGGGTCCAGAATGTGGAAGTATGTGAACTACACTTAACATGTTTGGTGTGGTGGTAAGATCCTGCAACAGTTATGCCACATGTGTACTGTAAAGGTAGCACCTTGAGTTTTGTGCCTGGGATAACTGTTTTCAGCATATGAAAAGCCTGTGTCTCAAAAGGTTTAATACTGCTTTCATAATTTCAACAAAAGGTGTTTCATTTTACTTGCAAACATGTCTTTCCTGATGACATAATCCAAAATTTCAGCTTAACATGGCTGGAGCTATTATCAATGCATGCATGCAGGAGGGTGAGCCCATATATGTCACTTAGGTATCAGGTATGGTGGATGATTTTTTTTTTGCAAACTAGCAGGAGGTGATGAGACCTTCACAGATTTAAGGCAGGTTTTTATAGGTCTATTGTCACCAAAGTTACCAAGTTTGCCCAAGAAGAAAAGTGTTGATGGGTGGGTGTAGAGCAAGTATATGTGGCTGTTTAATGCCTGCATGGGTCATAAAAAATGCATTGTTCTGTTGCCCATTTAGCCTGAAGAATCATTTTATTCCAGTGGTAGCTGGACACACTCAGATAATGTGGTTATTTAAACACTGTCCTTTCACTTTTCCAAATATTTTGTCTTTGCAATAAACTTACCAAATTTGTCCAGAAATATCACAGGTGAAGAAAGGTTCCCTGCTCAGTGCTAGTGATAACTCTGTGGAACAAAAGGGCATGTTCAGGACTCACTGTGCAGTACAAAGCCTGACTGTGCACTGCATGCATGCATAGACCATGAGTAGATCATGAGTGGACCATTTTTGATTCCAAATTGTCTGAATATGATATGCTCTTCTGGTAGCTAAAAATCCCTACACCCTCCTCACTAAATTCTGCTTTGTCTTTACACCAACAGTTTTATATTGTTTTGTGGTCATTTCATCTATGTGCACATAAGTAAACCCCTGCAGTTAGCCTATCCCAGGAGCTGGCAAGGACATTAGCAGGCAGGAATGTTCTCTTGGAACTGGAATTGGTATATATCATTATATACAATGACAATCCACTTTGGTTGGACATCATGATGCACTGCCAACTAGTCACCTATGCCATTCTCCTTCTTCTGCTGTCACATCATAGCAGGTGTGTTTGCCCTTGCAGGCCCAGTGCGCGCACCAGATGCTGCTGAGCTGCGCGCGCCGCCTGCTGCGGCCGCGGCCGGCGCCGCTGGCTGGCTGCCAACTGTGTGGTCTGCGTCGCGCGGCGCGCCGCCTCAGCGCGCCGGCCGACTCGCGGGACGAACTGCAGCCGGCGGCGCCGCAGCACGCCTCGGCCGCCCAGCGGCTGGTGGCCGCCGCGCCGGCCCCGCTCCGGCCCTACATGCAGCTGATGCGCGTCGACCGACCCATCGGTAAGAGGAGGCCGCCTGCTCTGGCGGCGGCGACGGCGGCGGAGCCGCTCCGGTGGTGGCTGGCTGCTCTGGCGGCGGCGACGGCGGTGGAGCCGCTCTGGTGGTGGCTGGCTGCTCCGGCGGCGACGGCGGCGGTGGAGCCGCTCCGGTGGTGGCTGGCTGCTCCGGCGGCGGCGGCGGCGGCGGAGCCGCTCCGCTGGTGGCCGAGTGGGGCCGATGGATGCTCGCCCCGCGTTAGGCAGTCGCCGTGCTCAAAAGCGCAGATGATTGTTAGCATGAAGTATGGTTCGGTGAACTTCTCCGTGAATTTGTTAGGTGGGTGGCCATCCCGGGCAAAGGCTTATTTTGTTTACTTCATAGGTGAAGTTTGCTGAACACCATGGAGAATAGCTGTTCGGTACATGGCCCCTTCCGTATATGTTTGCACGCGATGCTATTCTCATACGATGTTGGCTAGTTCTGTTGTTATTATCGTTTCCGCTGTCTGGATTAAGTTACTTGTGCGCGGCTAACATACCGGTGCAATGCGTTCGGCAGGCTCGTGGCTGCTGTTCTGGCCGTGCGGCTGGGGCCTGGCGCAGGCGGCACCTCCCGGCTGCCTGCCCGACCCCACCCTGCTGGCCATCTACGCGGCCGGGGCCTTCGTGATGCGCGGTGCTGGCTGCACCATCAACGATATGTGGGACAGGGACATCGACCACAAGGTGTGGGGTATGGTTGGACCCATCCCAGCATGTACTCACAGGCTGACTGCGTGGGGTCACGCGCGGTCCCCGCTGACGAGTTCTGTGGGTTATCGTTAGCAATGCCGTACCATGCGTACGACTCATGGATACCCACAGATTGCGGGCTGCCAGGTTCCTGTGAGCCTTACAACAGCAGCGACCAGAATAGGGGAATGGTTGCCGGGTGTCATGGCTCCCTGTGGCTTTTAAGTGAACTCTGACAGTGATGAAAGCCATGATGTCACATATAGCCCGAATGATTGATTACTTATGGTGAGCAGCAATACTTCAGTGCAATCCTTGTAAAAATGTGACATTTATATGGCTCTGATTGAGCACTACTTCTTGATATATATATATATATATATATATATATATATATATATATATATATATATATATGAAATTTATCTAGCAATGGATATGTCTTCAAGTGACCTATGCCTGGTTGCCATGTCGTCCACTGGTCACTCATGTCTCCACTTTGCCGTCGCACCTGATACAATGCCGATGCGCTCGCGTAGGCCAGTTCACGTCCTTTTGAAGCCTCCAGTGCCCTTGGACGCCCGGCCACGGGGCGCGCGTGCCGTGGCTGACCTGGTCGTGCCGGCCGGTGCAGGTGGAGCGGACGCGCAGCCGCCCGATCACCAGCGGGCGCGTGTCGGTGCTGGACGCGCTGGTGTTCCTCTCGGCTCAGCTGTCGGTGGGCGCGCTGCTGCTGCTGCAGCTCAACTGGCCGTCGGTGCTGCTGGGCGTATCCTCGCTGTCGCTGGTGCTGCTGTACCCGCTGATGAAGCGCGTCACGCACTGGCCTCAACTGGTGCTCGGCCTCACCTTCAACTGGGGCGTGCTCATGGCCTGGGCGTCGGCGCAGGGCGTCGTGAACTGGCCGGCCGCGCTGCCGCTCTACGCCGCCGGCGTCTGCTGGACCATCGTCTACGACACCATCTATGCGCATCAGGTGGGCGCGTCGGATGGTGCGGGACCAGGAGCGGAACGATCGGGAAGTGCTGGCGCTACGTGCTGCCTAGCTGCGGGGCGCCTCGCCGCCGAGGCGGCTGTCAGGTAGCGAGGTCAATTCGGACATCGTTCGTGCCGGGCTACCGATTGCTCTGCCGCCTTGTGAGCCGCCGTACAAACAGGTGGACCTGCCGTGTTTTGCGGAGATCGCGTCACCGGCCGGGGCGATGCCGTGCTGAAGAACTGGGTGCGGCTTTGGTGGTAGAGAAAAGGGCTAAATGGGTGTGAAGAACCTGCCCATGCCGATCCTATTTCAAGATCAGTCCAACTAAGCTCATGCGCCACAAAAGGAGAATAGGGATTAAATCGCGGCATTCTGAACGCACGGCCTACAGACACGTGCAAAACGATCACGCATCTGTGTCCTGCTCACTGTCCGCCGATGGGGCCAACGCGTCTGTCATGTCCAGCCGCTCGCGCTGAGCCTCCCTGCGCCCCCGCAGGACAAGTCGGACGACCTGGTGCTGGGCATGAAGTCGACGGCGCTGCGGTTCGGTGACAGCACGCCCACCTGGCTGGCGGGCTTCGGCGGCGCCATGATGACCTGCCTGGCGGCGGCGGGCGTGGCGGCCGGCCAGACCTGGCCCTACTACCTCGGCTTGACGGCCGTCGGGCTGCACGTGACAAACCAGGTCGGTACTGGGACCGGCCGTGCTTCTTTGGACTGATGGCAACCCACACGACATACGCCAAGCCGTGGTGCGGTTGGGAATGTTGGGGTAGCGTCGCATGCGCATAGGTGAAGGAATGTCTGGGAAGGGCAGCCTGTCAAAGCCAATTATGAAGCCGATTTCTTCCATGTGTCTCCAAAGGGTGAATGTTTAATATTCGTGAAAAGTAAGGGTGCCGTGCGTCCACTTCCCCCCCTCCCCCTCCTGTGCCTACGCCTATGTATCAGTTTCTACTCTTTACGAAAATCACGCCAACTCTCGCATCGGATTTTGTTGTTCTCTTTTCTGTCTTTGCTCTTCCTACGAGATGAATGTCACCGCTGCCCATACATACGCATACGTGTAAAGGATGTGTGGTCAGTAGTCCATTGACCCTGCCAGTGTAATGCCCTGATATCTGCCCGTCCATATCTTGCAAATACGTGAACTCTGTCCGTTGGGCCAGTCTGAGTCATATTCGTGGTGGGTCTGAGGTGTTTCATAATCAATTTTAATAAATTTCATATTTTTACTCAATCGGTAGATTGCCTGGATGTCGTATTTCGACGTTTGTAGGGCCGGACCGATGACCCGTTCGTCCAGTTTAAAATGCGGTTTAACCGATTGTAAATTGGGGGAAGGAAGCGAAGGCCCGAATTGTGAGTTGGGGGAAGGAAGCGAAGCCCCGAGTTGTAGGTTGTTGGAAGGAAGGGAAGCCCCAAATTCAATGTCTCGTGCCATTTGGGGCCCGCTCTAGTACATGGATCGCGTCGGAAACACAGGCGAACGTGTTGACAGCCCCAGCGTGTTCTGTGCAGGTCTCGCGTTATCCAGCTGAGTCCCGTTTGCCCCGGAGGAACCTCGTCGTCCTGTCGGCTGTTTCATTAGTCCCAGCGTGTGCGTTAGCCCGTTCATCTCGGTCCTGACCTGTTCAGTACAGTGCGGAGCAGGCTCAGTGCGATCTCGCCCCATCCGCCTCCCGCTCTTCACACACGCCCCTGCGCGGCCAGGTGCGGACGCTGAACATCTACGACGCCTCCGACTGCGGCGACAAGTTCCGCTCCAACCGCTACGTCGGCCTGCTGATCTTCCTCAGCATCGCGGCCGGGAGGTGGGCGGGGGCGCCGCGAGACGGGGACGCGCCGGCGCCGGCCGAGCCGCCCCCGCCAGGCTCGGACACGCCGGCACCGGCCGAGCCGCCCCCGCCAGACCCGGACGCCTCGTAGCGGGCCGGATTGCTCGCGCTCCCCTCGCCTGTGATGGTCCATTTGTGCATTCAGCTAGTCCGAGGGAGCGCATCGCCGTCTTTCGTGCTGGATGTCGTGTACCTGTGTGCGTGAGAAGTGCGTGCCATTAGAGATGTCCCCCACTGCAGGGGAACGTGGGCGGAGCCGCGTGGGCAATCCTTTATCACAGGTGCCGCACCAGCAAGCGCTGGAGCTATAGATTTTGGTTTTGTGTGTGAGTGTGGACGTAGGTGTGGGTGGGTGCGTGCGTGCGTGCGTGCGTGCGTGGATTGAGCGCGCTGTATATTGCGAATGTCGGTCTGACTTGTTCCTTTGAGATTGGGCCTACCGGAACGGGTAATTGCTTAGCTTAGCAAAACTGATTTGTACGATGAACGGTTCCTGTGAACCGCAAAGTCAAGAGTTTTTTCAAAAGTATGTTCAACGCAGTAACTTTGATACTGCTACATCACATCCCCGCCGTCCTGCCATCTCTGCCGTCCCTGCCATCCCTGCCGTCCTTACCGTCCTTACCGTCCCTGCCATCCCTGTTGTCCCGGCGGTCCCCGCCGTCCCTGGTGGTGAGGGGTGTGGCCTGTACTCGCTTGGTTATCGGGTGTTGGTTTTGGCCGTATCCCAGTCGAGGTGTTGGCAAGGAGCTTTTATCTTGTAGGGAAGGTGAGGTGTTACGGTTGGAACTGCTGGACTTGCAGTTATTTGGAGCTGTACTTTTCCTCAGCAGATGCGTAATAACGTTGGCAATAGGGGGTTTGTTGGACGCTAGGAATAGAGGCATCATACTTCGATTTGTTCCAAATCCTGGATCCGCTCCTGGACTCTGCTATCAGCGCCGCGCCCGCGACTGATGCGCTCGCTCCTGGCGCGAGGTTCGTCTGTGACGTCACTGACGTGGCCGTGACCTGCCCGACATGATGGGTGGCTCACTGGAGTCTAGTCACACTGGGGAGCGCTGACCCGGCCCCGGCCTTCCCACCGGACCGGCCGGGCCGTTGCGGCCGGCGGCTCATCCGCACCAAAGCCGCGCCAAAGTGCCTGCCGCCGTCGCAAGTCAAAGGAGACTGGCGCTCCACCTGGCACAACTGAGTTGTCATCTGCAATATGCGCTGTTTCGTTGTCGTGGCGGTCAGTGGCCCTGGCGAGCAGGAGCGTAGAAGGTTATGTCCGGTTGGCATTGGCTGTCAAGCGTCAGGTGTAATAGACTGGCCATATTACGCAAATGCTGCGTATCAGTGATGTCCGGAGTGACCAAGGCGCCATTTCAGTGCTTGGCCACGTGACTCCTTACCAAATATAGCGCATAATGCAGACGCATATTGCTGGTGTGTGACGAGGGATTCGCGTTTATGATACGAGCTAGACTCGTCTTAACGGCCGCGACGTATGCATGTGCATGCATTGTGACAGAGCTTCTGTGGCATGACCAGGAGGTCTCCTGACCGCAAAATAAGCTGGCATATAACTCGGACATAAAGGGTGGTCATGTATTCAACGCCTGCCGACAGTCACGCGTGTTAAACGAACGCTATACTATGTCCGGATGCCTGACAACGACAAGCCGCTTTTCTGATGTTCTGACAAAGCGCACCTGCTGTCGGGCTTGGTCAGCCGTCGGTCGTAGAAGACGGACGGATCGCGGCGAACGGGCGTGTTCGGACAGACCTGCTCATCTGAAAACCGCTCCGCTTACAGCGCTGCACCACCCGCGCTTTGCTTCGTCACTTCACACGTTTCCAGCAAGGGGTTTGATCACCGCGCTGCTAAACAAACAACAGGTACCGAATGAACCTGCTGCACGCATTGCACGATACAACCATCCGTGTTTTTCAGGGTGACTCCAAGCCGCACGTACCTGGTTGACTGCTGTGTTATCGCTGGGGATGCGCCCAGCTGGGTGGTGCAGTAAGTCATTTGTTTCGGACTGGTAAGACACATTTAATCAAGGCGTTCATTCAAGAAATTCAGGCGTGCACGGTGCGTTTAGACCGAGCGGGTAGTGACAGGCATGCTGTGCACGGATGACGCAACGCTTCATTCGCTCCACAGCACCTGAGGAAGATGCTGTGCGTGTTGAACGTGAGGAAGAACGTGCGACTGGGTGCACGCAGTATATTTGAAGTACAAGCTACTGCAGCATGACATTAAGTGTCAGCAAGGATGATATTAAGTGTCAGCAAGCATGACAGCAGGTATCTTTGGGTGGGTTAGGGGATGAGGAATACGCACCTCACGCCGTGTTCTAGGCAACCAACTAGGTGCATTGTATGACGTAACTTACATGATCAAACATAGGATTTCTGCTTACGCCACTTATCTAAGTGCGCCAGGACGAGACCTGCCATTTACATGTGCTTTGAAAATTCCTTTCACCAGACAATGTACACAATCCTTGAGGACTCGCACCTCAGATCAAGGGTGTAGTTTCGTAGAAAAAGTTTCGGTGGTGAGGGTGGGGGATGGGGGGGGGGGGGCAGAGCAGTAAAAATGACACAACCCACCCTCGAAATACACCAACAAACGGGTTTCTCATGGATTTGGCCCACTTTCTTCTAGAAGATGGAGGGCTGGGCCAAAGTTGGGGAGGGAGCTGGACCACCCGCCCCGAAATGAATAGGAAACTACACCCCTGCCTCAGTTTATATACTGTATTAACATTGGTTGGACGGAATGTGCACTATATACAGGATTTGATCGGCATTTACAATGGCTGTACTAGACACGGAGGTAAAAAAAACCGTTGCGGTACCTCAAAACACCCTTTCAAACAACATCCAACATTAAGCGAATGTAGGATTACCACATTATACTGCGCATGACGGAGTGCAGTTCATGCTACTCGGCGCTACACTTCACTATTTTTGGCGGCCATATTAAAAGTGCCGTGAAGGTCCCACGGGATCCAGTGTTAAGGTCCATTTGATCTCTGGTGTGATGAGTGCACAGAGCCGGTTACAATCAGGCTTAAATCCAGATCATGCACTGCAAAATTGAATTCGTAGATTTCAGGGACCCGTTGTCGCCTGTGAACTGTTGTGTGGAAAATGGTGCCACAACGTATGCACTGCATAAGTAACGAGGCACTGTTACAAGCTATTTTTAAGGCGGCATTATTACAGCTGCTCCATGTCATAGCTCTTATTCGACGGGTTGGGGGTGGCGGATCCTGGTTGCATTTCAAAAGCGTATCCTTCTGTTACCTTTTGATCGATGCGTACGCAGCGTAGCTGCTGGTTGAAGAAACCGGCTTCATACCCGTACGGCGCCTGCTGCGTAAAACACAATAACTTCAGATGGTTGGGATGCAGTGAATTATCAATGTTGGGAAAATCATCTAGTGTGATTAGTTTTAAAGAATAGCATCACCATGATTCTGGTCGTTGGAAAGTCAAACGGTGTGAAAGGTGCCGGGCGCCAGTACATGCTAAACGTGCAATGGCTTCGTCTGTTGTTCCGCTTAGTCTGCTACTAGTGTTGTAGGCTCCTTACGTTGGTCAAACGTAATGCTAAAAGATACGCATCGCACCGCTCACAGTCGGCATCGCAAACAGAGGCAGCTATGCCAGTGATGTAGCTTCCCAAACATCGCCTCCGCAGCGCCAATGCGCGGCGAATGACTTATGAATGACTTCGCCCATTCACGACCACCTCGGATCACGTGACAAAAACGACCACAATATGAATAGCACACCCTTCGCTATCTTCCGTAACTACCACCCTCGCGAAGGTCATCTGACTACCAAAATGCCAGCCACCCTCCGTTTCGACATCGGCGGCTCGTGTCCGCCGCCTGACGCCGGCAGCAGATCCCCTGACCCCCCTGACCCAGACACGCGGCGGTTTGAGCGGGATGCCGACCCTAGAGCTTGGTACGCTGCTCCTGCTCGGCCTCGGGCTCGTCGCCGGTGCCGGCGCCGTCGAGCGCGGTGCTGCTGGCCACGAAGGCGGCGTTGAGGTTGGCCTGCGTGCCCTCGAGCTGCGCCTCGCGGCCGGTGGCCAGCAGCCACTGCTGCCGGTCGCCCGAGCGCATTGGGCCCCATTGCCGGTTCGGGCTGAACGAGTGGCGGATTTTCTGCCGGCAGGGGGCGGCGTCAATGGGCGCTCGTGAGCCGCCGCTCCCCATGGCGGGTGGAGTGCGTACAATAACACTGCTAACGACCATATTGCGTCATTTAAGCCGGGACTCTGAGCTTTAGGACACGCCGGTCAACATGACGGTGGTCATGCTAGATGTGGGTTTGGCAGTTAAGGTACAAATCTAATATGGCAATCGTCACCAGCTGTAATTGGACACAATCGTGTATTTTTCCATCCATTTGGCATGAATGCGTGTGATGGTTACTGAAACTTCTTAAATTTCTTACGTACGTAAAGCGGTGCTTGATAAAAACAAGCGGCCACCCATGCGCGTTTCCGAGCATTCGCTTACGAGTGAGAGCGCCAATTAAGACGTGGTCATATTGTCCCGGGTCACATCACTGGGGTGAGGTCACATCACTGAGGTGAGGTCACATCACCGGTAAGTACTCACGTTGATCAGTCCCTTCTCAGGGCTCTGGTATAGCGCATGCAGGAAACACAGCGGTATGGGCAGCATGGCGGCTCCCGTCAGGATCCAGCCGCAAGCTGTGGAGAGTGGTAGTGTCAGGCGCTCGGACCAGCGCCAGAAAACACAGCGGTATGGGCAGCATGGCGGCTCCCGTCAGGATCCAGCCGCAGGCTGCGGAGAGTGGTGGTGTCAGGCGCTCGGACCAGCGCCAGAAAACACAGCGGTATGCGCAGCATGGCGGCTCCCGTCAGGATCCAGCCGCAACTGCGGACAGTGGTGGTGTCAGGCGCTCGGACCAGCGCCAGAAAACACAGCGGTATGGGCAGCATGGCGGCTCCCGTCAGGATCCAGCCGCAAGCTGCGGAGAGTGGTGGTGTCAGGCGCTCGGACCAGCGCCAGAAAACACAGCGGTATGGGCAGCATGGCGGCTCCCGTCAGGGTCCAGCCGCAAGCTGCGGAGAGTGGTGGTGTCAGGCGCTCGGACCAACGCCAGAAAACATGCACTGCAAAGTACCTTACTAAGGAGACATAACGCAAGATAGCATGTTACGTCCACCCGATCGCGTTATTTCTGAGTCACCGTGGGACAGATTTAGCCTCCCCCCCATGCACAATGCCTGTTATTTATTTGGCATGCCATGAAAGCGACATGAATCACGTGGGAGAAACAATGTTTAATCTCTGGCGCATCCATCCACTCACTGATGGCGATGGGCGGATATTCGACCTTCCCATAACGCAACGGCTCCATCTTGATAATGGAGTACACGAAGATACCCAGCAGGGCGATCGGGATGAAGATGCTCCAGCAAAACTTCCAGTAGATGTTCGGCCGGGTCTTGATCATGAACTCGAGGTCGTCGCAGAACTTGCGGACGCCGTACACCCAGTTGATGGCGACTACCTCTACAGTGGCCAGCACGAAGATGATGAAGCCTCCGCCGAAGTTGTCCACCAAATTCAGGATGAACTGCCCGCCCTGAAAGTAACGGTGCAGTTCGTTTGCTGAAGCTTTAGGTTCCATTGTCTTCCACCGTAACCCACGCGAGCTCGTGCGTTCACCGCGTCCGACTGCAGCTCACAGCGAGCCCGGAACGCTCACCGCGTCCGACTGCAGCTCACAGCGAGCTCGGGACGCTCACCGGCGTGACGTAGACGAGTCCGACGAGGAAGCCGGCCGCGCAGATGGCGGCCGAGACCTTCCAGCGCGCCCAGCTGGGGAACTGGTCGCAGACGATGGTGATGACGCAGCCCGTTAGCGCCGTGGCCGAGCCCACGCCCAGTGTGAACAGCATGAGGAAGAACAGCACCGCGAACAGCTGTGCGGGAAGGGGAGGCAATGTGAGCAACATGAGAACAGCGTTGCGAATGACCTCCGGGAGGGATGAAGGAAGCGTGGCTAGTCTATGATGTGCTGTCTAGGCTGCGGCTGTACATCGCAGCGCACAGCTGGAAGACAAATGTGAGAAGTACATGGACCTCTGTCCCACTGCAACAGCTTGAACGGCATTTATAGATGATGGTCTCACGGAATGCAACAAGTGCATGGCCAAACAAGTACGGACTTTATTTTCAACGAGCTGGATTAAGTCTCAACTGTACTCAGCTAGGTGCACCGATTCCCGGCCGCAAAACGACGCCTAAATCTGTGAGAGCACTTAGTTGCCAACGGCAGCTCTGGAGACACGCTCGCAAGGCACAGCGCTCCACTGTCACCACCTCGACATTTTGGCAACGTGGCCCGAGCGTGGTCCGGCGCCCGGGGTACGACCTGGGCGTCCGCGTCTGGCAGCAATGGAGCCGAGCGTCACCAGCGCTGACCTGCGGCACTCCGGGGAAGTTGGCCAGCGCCTGCGGGTACGAGATGAAGGCCAGCGACGTGCCGCCACCCTTGATGACGTCATCGACGGTGGTGTCCAGCTCGTGCGCCAGGTTTCCCAGGATGGAGAAGATGGTGAAGCCAGCCAGGAAGGAGGTCATCATGTCAGTGATGCTGATGATCGTCGCATCCCTGAGGATGAAGGGAGCTTTAGCATGGTGCTGCCGTCGAAGTAAGAGACCATTAGCTGTGTTCGGAATCAAACATGCAACTGGTCCCACTTTGCCGGCCAGTGCCTTCGTCAGAATGGGACCACTGTTATCCCCTCCAGTGGACGCAACCGCTGTAATCCCCGTCCAGTGACGGACTCCCATAGCAAATACAAACACAAATGAACGTAGATTTGCCTTAAAAGACAGATCAGTTGGCGTCATCGCTGAGTCTTCAACACCGCATTTATCGTGCAGTAACCCATGAATTTCGTGAAACCCCACCGCCACAAATGGAAGCCCACCGTCACAAATCGGCCTTTAGAGCACCCGCACCTGCCACCGTTCGTCTGCGCGTTTTGAAAGCTCACCTAGCCACCGGGTGACGGAAGCCGTTATAACTGGAGAACATCACCAGGCACCCGAAGCCGGTGGAGAGCGAGAAGAAGCACTGCGTCACCGCAGCGTACCACACCTGAAAAGGGGGACAGGCACGTGCCCCGTAGCCAAACAATGGTTGTGGATCTGAACTGCTTCCAGCTAAGTGATCTGATGTACGTAGCGCGTCAGTAGCGCTGGAAATAGAGACCCTAGGGAGAAAACCATTTGTCCTTAGTTTTTTTTGGAATTATGGGTCACCCGCAGCCTGATTTTCTGTACTGCATGTAGCCAGCCGAAGATCAGGTACCGAAACAGCATGAGCTGTCTTTTCACTGTTGTCACGTGTTCAGAACGGGCTTGTATAGGGATTCCTGTGCATTAATCTTTCCAGCGGTATGGAGCACAAATGCGATGATCTCAGCAATCATGCTGCCGGCTTGACAATCGTGCCAAGTCTACATGGATGTGATGAAGAAGGGGCCGACTCTGTGTCACCGACCTTGAGATTCAGCAGCTCGTGCCACTGCGGCTTCAGGTAGAAGAGCACGCCGTCCATGGCGCCGGGCAGCGTCAGGCCCCGCACCAACAGAGTGATCAGCACCACGTACGGGAACAGCGCTGCCACCACACACATGACACGGGTTACCACCGAGCCAGGCTGACCTTGTGCGGCGGCGAGAAGGCCCACCTTCCGCCCAGTCACGTGAGTCGAGCTCCACTGATCACAGGATGGAGGGGTCTGTGGTAGGTGGAGCTCCCTTGGTCACAGCATGGAGGGGGTCTGTGGTGAGTGGAGCTCCCCTGGTCACAGGATGGAGGGGTCTGCAGTGGGTAGAATTCCCCTGGTCACAGGATGGAGGTGTCTGTGGCGAGTGGAGCTCTCCTGGTCACAGGATGGAGGGGTCTATGGTAAGTGGAGCTCACCTGGTCACAGGATGGAGGGGTCTGTGGCGAGTGAAGTTTCCTTGGTCACAGGATGGCGGGGTCTGCGTGGTCTGCGTGATCTGCGTATCCTGTGTGACCGAGCATTGCATGCGTCATTGTTTTTACTGCAACATCGCTAACCGTGCTTGACAGTGCTTGAGAAGCGCTGTGTAGACAGCTACACAAAATATCACGACCCCCTATCGTCCGATGTCGCGAAGTGGAAGACAAACGCGCCTTTCACGCAACAACGTCATCCCGAAGAAGCCCGCTCCCACCTGTGAAGTAGGCGACCTTGCCGGAGCTCTGGACGCCTTTGACAAGCGTGAGAAAGAGGATGACCCAGGAGGCGAACAGGCAGAGTGTCAGCCGCCACTCGGGCAGGCCAATCCCGCCGTCGATGTCGGGCAGCTCGTTCAGCACGTTCCTCCTGGCGAAGGGATATCTTGAGTTATCGCCGTCCGCCGTGTCCTGGGACTTGTGGCCATTGGCCTTGACATCGCGTCGTATGTTATCTTCTAGCCAACTCCAGCAGTTTGTACGCTCTGGTCGCCGCTATTAGAACGTTATCACAAGCTCAGGACATCGCTGCGTCGATGGCTATCAGTAATGCCAAGCACTGCCTACGCCATCCGACTTTGGCGGGCCCGGTGTCACTCACTGGAAGTACATCTCGGTGGAGCCGATCAGGTTGTCGTCGCCGTGCGTGTGGTTGAGCAGCGAGATGTTGGTGGTGGGGTCGACGCAGCGAGTCATGTCCGCCCAGCTCGGGTCGCACACGGTCCACGGAAGCACGGAGGAGAACGACGCCACGAAGTAGAACACGGTCAGCGCCATCAGGGCGACGTAGTAGGAGACGACCGACGCCGTGCCGATCATCTGACCGTACCCGACACCTGGCGGGCAGACGGGGTGCTGTACACCACACCTGGCGGGCAGACACGGTACACCACACCTGGCGGGCAGACGCGGTACACCACACCTGGCGGGCAGACACAGTACACCGCACCTGGTGGGCAGACACAGTACACCGCACCTGGCGGGCAGACGCGGTACACCACACCTGGCGGGCAGACACAGTACACCGCACCTGGCGGGCAGACACAGTACACCACACCTGGCGGGCAGACACAGTACACCGCACCTGGTGGGCAGACACAGTACACCGCACCTGGCGGGCAGACGCGGTACACCACACCTGGCGGGCAGACACAGTACACCGCACCTGGCGGGCAGACACAGTACACCACACCTGGCGGGCAGACACAGTACACCGCACCTGGTGGGCAGACGCGGTACACCACACCTGGCGGGCAGACACAGTACACCACACCTGGCGGGCAGACACGGTACACCACACCTGGCGGGCAGACACGGTAAACCACACCTGGCGGGCAGACACAGTACACCACACCTGGCGGGCAGACACGGTACACCACACCTGGCGGGCAGACACGGTAAACCACACCTGGCGGGCAGACACAGTACACCACACCTGGCGGGCAGACACAGTACACCGCACCTGGTGGGCAGACGCGGTACACCACACCTGGCGGGCAGACACAGTACACCGCACCTGGCGGGCAGACACGGTACACCACACCTGGCGGGCAGACACGGTAAACCACACCTGGCGGGCAGACACGGTAAACCACACCTGGCGGGCAGACACAGTACACCACACCTGGCGGGCAGACACGGTAAACCACGCCTGGCGGGCAGAGGGGGTACTGTGCCCCGTACCTGTCAGAGGAGTTCACGGTACACCACACGTAGGGGAGAGGCGCGAAACAGTGCACCACACCTGGCGAGCAGACGTGGTACCGCACCCCACACTCGGCAGACAGAGGTGTCCACAGTGCATCGCATATGGAGGACAGACGCGGCGCAGCGCACCACACCTAGCGCAGATCCGCGGCACCATACCCCACACCTGGCGAGCGGGGTGGACATCAGATGCCTGTTGCACAAGTTGTGCATGGCACCTGATGGCCAGGACTGAGAATATATAGCTGGTGACCAAACTGGGCCCACCGGGCACACCAGTGGTATCTGGCGAGCGGACTAGAAACTACCGACAACTGACGGACGTACTTGGGATAAAGGCTCCTAGCGTACGGACGGGAATTCATAACTCATAGCGCACAGTTTATAAGCGAACAAGTGCTAGGAAGTAAACGGTTTTTTGTTTTGTTTTGTTTTGGTAGGCAGATGTGACGGCGAGACACCCAAAACAACTAAGGGTGTAGACCTATTTCGTGGCCGAGCGAGCGGTGCACGCTGTTGAGCCTTACCTCTGGCGGCGGGCACGACATTCCAAACTCGCACACAGCCGAACGACGAGAATTGCCCCATGGCCAGCTCCATGTAGTACAGCGGCTTGCCTGCAGCACGGAAAGACCTTAAGCCACGTGCTAAAATTAGCCTTGCACTTTTTGCAATCAAATGGCAACGCAGACTCATGTTGCAACGGCACGTAAGCCTTCGTTGCCATTTTGCATCGGCTTCGTACTCTTGTGTGCGGCGCTTCAATGAGCGTTCCAGATGGGATAGTTTGATTTTGTGAGGTCAGAGTCCCGGAACCCTGTTCAGACTATTGCCGAGCCATGCCCATGTGGCGAAGGAGCTTCAGAGAGATCAGAAGCACGACATCCGTCCACGGGCCTTTGCCCGGCTAAGGACAAAGGTGGCCGGCGGCGGTGGCCTCCGGCTCAGCAGTGTGAACTGGGTCTCGCGGACGACGTGACGTACTTCACCTTTCACTCACCGATGAGGAGCAGCACAACGACGTACGGAATGAGGAAGGCGCCGCCACCGTTCTCGTAAGCGGTGAAGGGGAAGCGCCAGACGTTGCCGAGGCCGACCGACATCGCGACGCAGGACAGCAGGAACTCGATCGGGCTGCTCCATTGGTCCCGCTCCTGGTCCTCCTGGCTCGCCTGCCGCGCGGTCGGCCGCTGGTCAGCGCCCTCTGTCGCGCGGCCACTGAGGAAGCGGCGCTGAGTGCAGCAGCTGCGCGGCCTCGGTCAGGGCGGGTATTCCGGGTTGGTGTGGGGTGCCTGCCACCTCAGGCAGCGCCGGTTCTCTGGGGTGGTGTGTAGTGCCCGCCGTGTTCTTACATAAAGGGGATGGAGATTTTGCATCCTCATGCATCGGCACCACGCGCTCCATTGAGATAAGCCTAGGTGTCACAGGCTAGCTTCCAATCCAATAGGTGGATGGGTGGAGTCGTCAGTACATGAGACAGTCCCAGTGTGAGGAGATCTTCAGGAGCGCTTGAAACTGCTTGCTTGATGCCATTTACACAGACAGACGCGCTAAGGGGAGATCAAATGACCTTTGCATCTCCAACACTCGGAATTATCGCATGGTCCATGAGCATGAGAAAAACTAAGCGAAGTAACTGCGCTCGAAGGTCACCCTTTTTCATGGCTCGCTGCGGCGCAGCCAAAACATAGCATGAGTGTTTAGCACAAGTGCATGGCATGATGAAAGTGCATGAGTCATGAGCGCATAGCACAAGAAAAAATATGGTTGGAAAAGATGGATACGTTTCGAGAACATGAAGTTGATGTTCTCCACAGAACATCAGCTACACCCCTATGGCTTGTATCGGCCCTTGGAGGTCATACGCTTCGTTACATAAATAATACGTGTAACTCTGCATTAATTCGGCACTGACCGCAGGGAGAAATCAAATATGCCCCCGTCTAATATCCGCGATTATTCAAAACGCCTTGAGATATCGCAGCGAAATTTTCAGTGGCTGTCAACTAACGAGCTCTTCGCCTTGTGCCAAAATAACAACTATGAGAACATAAGCAATCAAGCGTAAGCGACGTCAGGATGACGTCATGTTTACCAAGTTGTTTTCCACAAAAGCGCATGATTGGAGACAAACTGACACAGAAGCCAAGTGAAAAAGCATATTTTACATCTGTGAACGGTAAATGTGAGCGAACCGATCCACCATGCATGTACCTTGTTGTGTTGTTTGAGTATTGCACCTTGAGATATTGGCACGTCAAATAACCAAAATATTGACAAAAAGTACACTCAGCATTCTTTTGTCTCAGACTCAAAATTTTGATCACTGAAACGCGTATCATAGTTGCGACTAAGAGGGAAGTCTGCACCAAGTTTCAAGCAATCATCTGAAGAAATAGCTGAGTTAAGGCTTGAAATGTATCACTGCGCACGCCGCCCTGCCCAGGTGCCCGGCCCACGGCGGAGGGCGGCGGGGCTCAGGTCTGCCGCAGGGGCGCGGCGACGGGGCGGCGGAAGCCGTTGATCAGTTTCACACGTAAAGTAACGACCGCGTGACTGTGAGAGGTTCAAGGCCATCAGGCTGCGCTGTCGGCCGGCCTGAACAATCGGACACAACACGAAATCGATGCAACAGCTTTTTCAACACCGAGGTCATCCATTTGACCTCGGCCTTGGACAGTTTATGAACAAGTAGCCGCTATTGCTCACGCGTCTGACACCCATAAGTGTGGCTAAGGTCTTCGTCATCGCGTCTAGACGTTTTATATGCGACGGAAATAAGTAGGCCAAAACAGATATATACACCAAGGTTTCAGTTCTCAATTGCAAAGCGCGTGCCTTTGGCTTTAGGCCTGGTGCTGCACGCGCAACATTACGTACCTTTCTTTATAACATGTCTGACCGGGCCGCAATGACTTCACGCCATCAGAAGCGCTTCCACATGAAACGCGTTGTGAGAACGGTCAGATATTCCAGAATTACATTTTAAGAAGTTGACCTTGACCTGTGACCTTAAAACACGCTTAAAATCAAGTTTGTTGTGTGGTTCGAGGTCGCACGCCACGGCGCTATCGGTTGCGATTTAAAATTTTGAATTCGGCCCGGGCGTGAAGGGCAGGGCAGGGGGGGGGACAAATCTGCCTCCTCCGGCCAATGGTGTGCCGCTGAGGAGTCCGGTCAACGCCGGGTTAGGATCGTATCGGTACCAGTATCAGTGACAGGATATTGGAACCCATCCACGTGGTAGCTATTACAATCTCAGGTCGAAGCAATTTTCAAGTCGCATACAGGTGCAGCGTAAATAGGCACACCCACAACAGGTGCACCAATAAAATGACACGGGCAGTGATAAATGGTACAATAAAGTTATACGAGCAATGGTCAAAGAGCTGAGACAAATCAGTCGGTGCGCATTGGGCAGCGTTCAGTGGTCAGTGGTCAAAAACTACACCATGTATGGCGGTCTTAAACGTATTCGGTGTTGAGGCATTATGGGCGTAAGATGGCAGGCGGGTCCAGGCAGCCGCGCCTCGGTGCAAAATGCCCTCGGTATGGCGGCCGGCCCGTGTCTGTGCAAGTGCCAACTACTTCTGTCCGACGCGCGCGTTTCACGGGTTGAAATGCGGCGCGTGGCACAAAAAGCGCGCAGACCTCGTGAGGCACGCCTACCTCCTTCAGCGCCCTTAACACTTTAATCACGCCGCGGTGTGTCACCATGACCTCCACCCTCGGCCATTCAAGGGAATTTAGGGCCGGGGCGATATGGTGGTGCCTTTTGGAGCCGGTAATCATTTTTGCAGCAATTAAGTTGAAAACATTTTGAATTTTGTGTAATTAATTCTTAGCCGCCCTACCACATACGCAAGGCAGTACGTGACGTGAGGGAACACGTACGCCTGAATGATGATTCTAAGAAGATCTGATGTAAAATAATGACGGAATTTGTTCAGAGAAACGAGGATGCCATTCCATGTTTTTCACGACACTTTAGACATGGGAACCCCATGACAGAGTGGGGTCAACTATGACGCCGAGAGTTTTGCTGCCACTTGGGGTATGCTCAGCGGAACCGTTTACTTCAAAGTGGAAGTCAGCTGACTTTTAAACCTTGCTTTGACCCAACGAGCATAAAAGCAGTATTTTTTTTCGTTCATTTGGAGAGAATCGACACTGGACCAGTTCAAGCTTACGCATGGTAAGTTCTTCCAGTCTTGTGTTTTGATGTGTGCCACTGCCTTCAGAAATCATGAGTTATTTATTGTGACCATACGTCAACAGTTGCATGCAGACATTGGCCCCTTAGTTTCCAACGTTAATGTTAAAATATCGGAAGTGCTCCGCACGAGCTACCAACCTTTTCCTGGTCTTCCAGGGCCTTTTTCTGTCCTCCATCAACTTGCTCCGACACAGACCCTATCGGGACTGGCTTCCCGTTCGCTTCTCCCACGTCCTGCGACAGCTGGGAAGGAAACGCGGCGTTCGTGTTAATCAGTGCGCGCTAAGAGCGCCGCAGTTTGAGATCGAGTTTCATCGAGGGTCACCCCGGTGCATCTCCTTACAACAGGTCACGTCCTCATGTCATCACGTCCTCATGCAACTCGTCCAGCTGGCTCATTCGGTCGCCGCGTTCCCTTGTGCTGGGATGCCAGTGGCGACAGGTTCATCCCACCCATTAGCCTCGTTTCCCCTCCGAGGTGGAAGCGCTTCCCTTGTGCTGGGATGCCGGGGGCGTCAGATTCATTCCACCCACTGGCGTCGTTACCCCTCCGAGGTGGAAGCGCTTCCCTTGTGCCGTGATAGCGGGGGTGTCAGGTTCATCCCACCCACTGGTGTCGTTTCCCCTCCGAGGGGAAGCGCTCCGTGGGATATGAGGGTATGTTAGCTGTTGGCCTCCAGCCTCTGCTGTGAAGTCTGTGACGCGGAAATTTGATAAGAAGCTGTTCCATAGTCGAACGGACCTTGAGAACAACAAAAAAAAAAAAACAGCAGCGCTCTCTGCTCTGTACATTTTGTCAGAGCGATTTATACTGCGCTTTGTAGCTTGTTGTATATCGCTGAGCCCAGATCTTTACTTAGAGCGTGAGTATTGGATGTCAGCATCGAGAAATGAACTCATTAAAATTGACGCGTGGTGCAAATCTGCTACGATTAGCAGGGCGACTTCTGCCCCTCTGACATCACAGATTTTTGCGCGCCTTCGATGGGACCAAATGCTACGCAGATATTATGGTGTGTGTTACGCACCACAATCGTTGCAAAAAATACAGATTGCATTGCAATTGTCCCCAGGCGAGTTTTATCCCACATTCCTTTGCCGGTTAAACATAATTTATGGTGGTTGTTAACTTCAGTGATTTCATAGGGTGTGTTATGCCATTCATTCGTCAACAGATAGAGGCATTAGCACTCAAACTGTGCTGACGCTGATATGCGTCCTTGTGTGCGGCTGGATTTACACCCTCGAATGAGGCAGTTAGATTGTTTAATGTTTAAGCCTCATATCGCGTATGTTCCATACAACTGCGACGTAGACCAGTTTGTACTTTCCTTTCCAGTTGGCAGCTCCAGCTTTGCCCCCCCCCCCTTAACTCTGGTTTCGGGTGCCGCCGCAAGAAGGAAGTGGGCCCAATCTGGAGCAAAACCCGTTTGTTGCCGTATTTTGAAGGTAGTTTTGGCCACTTTCACTGTTTAAATGAGACCAAACGCGATACATACATCTCGACGCGGAAATAATGGGCAATCTTAAAGGTAAAAGTGCGAATCGATGGCTGTACTCACCCACGTCCATTCGCGTGCAAACACAACATTCCACAGTTTCGGAGCGGTTTGGGGATCGATATCAGTTCTCGGTGACCCGGAGGGAAAACGACGGAGACCGACTACACCGTATAAGTGCACGCATGAACGTGCCGTCTACGAAAAAAAAAAACAGCCGAGCTTCCTCAGTATCATAACGGTGCCAGCGATCCACCGGAATGCGACCATTCCTGCGTGTTTTCAAATATCATCTCGAATGCAACACGCTGGCGTCTAAATCGTGCAATCCGGCTCCATGAAATTGACACAACGTAAATCCCAGCCCGCGGTGAACAATATGCTTCAAACATGTCTGTGCAGCTTACTTTGCTCTTGTTGTAGTCGCCCCGAGCGCCATCAGTGTAGAATTTACTCTAGTCTCTGGTGCACACTATCGCGCCCTTCTGCCGGCCTGCTACCGACTACGCACTGATATTGAAGTCGCGAGTTTGTACCGGCGGACATTTGTGCACACCAGTCCGCATACGGCAGGGATGTGCTGAAACAGCAAGAGGCCATTCAAATCACAGCCATTCGCATTATGGTATGCAGCTGGCCATGTCCTGTCGAGTCCAGAGTACGGTTAAGTCGGATAACTTCCGTCATATGTTGTGTACAGCACACATCCGCACAGCGGATATTTAGATGTACGTAAATATATTCGGCAACCGATTCGACTGAAAGAACCACGCGCCATTGTATCGGCCTAACGTGACGTGTCCTTATGTGCTGCTGGTCACGCGTTGTTGGGTGCAATTCATGAGTCGACCAGTGTAGCACGTGTCATTTTAGGCCCAGAGCAAGACATGAAACGTAACATAAAATGACAAAAACGTAACTTGGTCATCTCCCAGGAACACGAGTGCAGGTAACCAGCACCAAATGCTCCTCAGTTCAGGCCATATAAGCGTAAGCCCAATATCTTTAAACTGCGTATCGTGCAATGCTGGCCATCTAGTGTTGATAATTGATAATTTGGTTGATTACTTGAACATTCAGGTGGCTTTGGTACCTCTGTAAGCCAACTGTATTAATTGAAATACCTGTTATGACAAGGGGCTGTCAGTTTAAAAGCTCGCACGCCCACTGGCTCTGACATCGCTGTAAACTAACTGTATCAACCGCGACGCCTGGTTTACCTGTCATTTCGAAAGCCCGTGCGCCTCCTTTATTGCGACACATATTCCTTGTTGACTCCCTGTATCCGTGGCAGCGCCACGGGTTAAAGTCCGTCTGCAGGCGTCTGTCAGGGCACAGTCCATCACACGCGTTTTCACGCCCATAGACCCTCACACAGTCTTCCTCGCACCTGACCTTGTACCCTCGGGGCCGCTGTGTTGAGAGGAGTTGGGCGGTTTGCGCAAATGAACTGGCACTCCCATAAAGAACGATGCTGGCGTGCTTAGCTAAACATGCGCGCAGGTATACGCGCATCGGTATGCACTAAGCAGCCATGCATAACACTGTCTCCAAAACCCCTGAATGCGAAGATGGTAAGTACATCAAGTTGTAAAAGCTGCTCCAAGGGCTAAATGCTACGAACAAAATATTTCAAGGGCCAAATACTGTTTTAATACCGATTTACCGGCTGGGTGCCCGACGATAAGTCACCATCTCAGCATGGCTACAGCGCCTGCATGCGCTCTCATTATCGGCAACAGGCGGCAGCGTATCAACAGGTGATGGTACTCCCGCTGAATCGGCTTTATGGCGGTCATATTGTTTATGGTGCGGCTTACGGGTGCAGCCTGCTGATGTCTGCGAAGCATACTGTGCGAGCTGCGTTACTGAGTGGGGCGTTCACGTCCCAAACAGAAACGATTTGGAGGTCGTTTGGAGGTCGTTTGGAGTCACTCTCAAAAAAGGCGGCGCTGGTCATTTCCCGATCATCACTAGTGCACTGATGGGCCGGAAAATGATGAGATCAGTTCATTTGCACACACCGTGTGCCTGTTTTTACGTCTCTCGCCGGTCTGATTGCCGATGTTTTACACCGATCACTAAAAACGCCCCAAACGGGCGGATCCATCACATACGCACGAAAGGTGATGAACGTCTGGTCATATTACCCCCCTCCCTTCCTATCCCCGTAAAAGCGGGTGTTTATCTCGTGATGTCATGCCTCTGACCATTAATATCCAGGTCTGTGTGTCCGGCCTTTCAATGCCTGTCTAATCTGTCTGTCTATTCGATTGACAGATAGACGGACAAAAAGACAGACAGACAAACAGAGCTGCCTGAACATTCTCACGGCCCAGCTTGGTATGCCAGCTTCCTGACAGTTTTAACCTCTCTGTGTTGAAATCCTTAAGTTTCACGGCAGGAAAAAAGACCCAGTAGCCTCCAGCTGAGGCCCACGCAGCCTCTAGAGCGGCATGGCCAGCACGGTCTCCTGTCGACACGCCACTGACGTCACCCATATGCCGTCAGAAAGCCGCCATTTGGTAACGAACACGCCTCTGGAACATGAGAACAGGGCTCCCCAGCATGAAAATGGTCACGGATAACATCATAAGCCTCTTCAAACTGCAGCAGTGATTCCGTGGTCACATTTGGTCTTGTCCCACGTGAACCAATTTTAGTGGTAGGAACAATTTAAACGCCTAAATTTTCGGTCTTGTGCATCTCAATCCGAAAGAAACGCGGTTTAATCGCACCTATGCACATTGTTTCATCGTCGCATCAATTAAAAGTTATCTATAACACTGTAATAATATATTCGCTACGTCCCCGAGCCTTTTTCATACCGAATGATTTGGATTTACTGCTAACACGCTCCCGGATGGCCGGTTAGATACCCTTTGCTCGGGGGGGGGGGGGGGCGATTTGCCCCCGAGGTCTCAGAAACTAAGAGAGCTAGAGACACCAAGCGCACGGGGCGCGTTGGCGTACGTGAAGTCACTTGTGCCAAAATTTGAGGTTCCTAAGTCACGATCTTTGGGTTAAATTAGATCAAACAAGGTCGAACTCGAGGTTGGTGTCCAAAGGCCCCCCAGAACCTAGATACCTGCTTTAGAAAAAAGGTCACTGATGTGAGATAAAGGTAAATGACCTTATCTGATCTCTATAAGGTCACGGTGACTGAAATAATATAGATTTGTCTGAGTCTTGCGCTTGAATAGGCGTCAAAGATTACGCTTGCAATATGTTCCTAAAAACGAAATGCCGATCTGGATCATTTTAGATCAGTGACCTATTCTGATCTTTGAAAAATTCATGATAGATGTATAATGCGGTTTCTGTTATCAATGAATTCGAAATGAGCACCAGAACTACCCATTACAGCAAGCTCTAAGGTAATAAAGTGAGCTGTTTTGACCTTGGTCTGACCTTCATACCTGACGCTAGGTCAATGGAATTTGTCCAATCAATTGTTGTGTTACTAAAGAAACCATCTCAGAGATGTGTGGCTTCGTCTAGCACTCTGTTGTTGCATCAGATTAAACAATTCCCAGAAATTGACTTCGCTGAACCCATGACCTGACTTCGACCTGCTGTTGATCAGCGACCATAAAGGTACATCCAAATACCTGCTGCCAAGCGATCCACTATTCAATTGTCTACAGGTATGGAAAATTTGGCGCGGCTGCTCCGCGCCGTTCTGAACCACGCTGGGGAAAACTTTGGGGGTCAAAGTGACCGCCACCCGAGCGCGTGTTAATGTGATGCGAAGGTCTCAGTGGACCTCTGAAACATTTCGGGCGTGATGTATTCTGACGTAAGTCGTACTCCCGCTATTTCATCCTTTGTGACGATCTGCGAGGGTAAGTTCACGTTCGTCGGACAGCGATGTTATTGTGATGGTTGATATCGGCCCGACAGCGATATGCAGGCCAAAGTCGTCGTGTTTTGACATGTAGCAAGGACACACTTTTCGTATCTGTGGATCAAACAGGCTGCACCGCAGTGGGACCACTGCAAAACTTATCGCTAAAGCTCCCGTCATTGATATAAGCAGCGATTCTCAAGATTAAAACTCATAAATTTCGGGCATTGACAGTTTTAAGACGCCCGTAATTTCCGCGGGGCTGCTGGTTCATGCTGCACCATGCTTACTGGAGCTGGCCACCGCTTTCATGGCGGTGAAATTTCTTCCAGCAATATTCCCCATCTCGAATCTGCGCGAAACTTAGCCTGACCCGTGGAACCGGAGCCGGAGCGGCAGCTGGTTTTGGTCTTGTTGTTTGAATGACCTTGAACAGAAGTCGCCACCGCTGGCGTCGTTTCTTTGAGCGGCAAGACACACTAAAACCCCATGTGACCCTCCAATGCGTTGCTGAGAGCCGAGTAAATAGGCGCAGATGCGGCCAACAAAGACACTTGACGCATCGCTGCGTACCGAATCAGGAGTGCACCCACCCCCTGCTGCGTGAATGCAATGCCAGAGGCTATTGGTGGAAGCGCTTGCTGTGTTGACATGCGCCGAGTGGGGAGACATACATACCCAGTGCGTCGTCCTGAACCGAGTCAGGACCGCGGGCTCTTCGGATGTCATGCACTTCCGGTCGTAGACCTTGCACGCGTCGGAGCTGCCACAGCGCGGCATCCCAGCACCCCCTCCTCGTCTTCGGGGCCCGCCTCTCTTCTCCCCCCGCAGTGCTGTGTGCGGCGGTCGGTCGTGCCCCAAGGCACGCTCCGCTAAGTTCGTCGAGGCTGTCACTGATCAATGAACGGCTGCTCACTGCACACCCCGCCTTGAACAGACAGACAGCTCTCGCCGTGGCCGCGCTCGCCACCGACCGCAGTTGACGAGGCGAGGACCGCCGCTGCGCGGACGCCGTCGCCCGTTCGCCGGACCCGGGCCAGAACGCCCGGCCGACAGGGATCACCGCTCCCCCGCGCGACGCGACTGCCGGGGAGGGACCCCTCTGGCGTCCACCTGCACCAATCCATACACCGGCAGCCAGGTGCGGGCGGACAGTGTACACCCGGCCACGTGCGAGCCCATCGATCGGGCGGGGGTGGACACTGGACACGCTGGCTGGGCCAGCGCACACGGGCCACCCGTCCCCATGCGCTCAGCCAGCCTGATTTGACCTGTGCAGGGCTATACCTGAGTTTTTTTGCTGCGTATCATTTTAGAGGGACTCGGATTGTTCATAAACCAACCCGGTCCGGCCGTTCTTGGGTCTAGCTGCGAGTGCTGGAGGAATTCAGTAATTAATATTTTGCATGAGTGTTCCCGGGAATAAGTGATGCTGGTGTGGGTCGATGTCGGCGTAATTGCCATGCGGTCCATCATACCGGCTCGCACTGGCTACCGCTGTCGTGCTGCGTCAATTGACACGTTGACACAGCAGGACGCCTGGGTGCAAGGTGTCCTCTGCTGAAAGCAGCAGGAAGCAGGATAGTTGCCTGAAGAGCTCACGCCCAACCGGACCGCAGTTCGACCGGTCAGCGCAAAACGCACTAACGCAAATGCGGCGAGTTTCGGCTGTCCAGTTCACGACGCTGTGGCAGCCGTAGTACCACACACAATCCGCCTTCGTTAGTAGGAGGGTCGCCACGGTTGTGTGGTGCCTGCCAGCCGCAGTACTACACACAATCCGCCTTCGTTAGAAGGAGGGTCGCCACGGTTGTGTGGTGCCTGCCAGCCGTAGTACTACACATAATCCGCCTTCGTTAGAAGGAGGGTCGCCACGGTTGTGTAGTGCCTGCCAGCCGTAGTACTACACATAATCCGCCTTCGTTAGTAGGAGGGTCGCCACGGTTGTGGTGCCTGCCAGCCGTAGCACTACACACAATCCGCCTTCGTTGGTAGGATGGTCGCCACGGTTGTGTAGTGCCTGCCAGTCGTAGTACTACACACAGTCCGCCTTCGTTGGTAGGAGGGTCGCCACGGTTGTGTGGCGCCTGCCAGCCGTAGCACTACACACAATCCGCCTTCGTTGGTAGGAGGGTCGCCACGGTTGTGTAGTGCCTGCCTGTACAAATGAATCAGGGTAAGAGCCCCCCCCCCCCCAATTCAAAACCGTGATTCGACTGGAAATGCCCTCGTCTGCTTAGGAATGCATGTACTGATTTATCATGGTCCCGATTAGGCCAGATAAAATTCAAGATCATTGGCAGGCTTGTCTGTGCGTTCATCACTGCTATTATAATGCACCAGGACATCTATGTTTATTAAAATTATATTGTGATCCACTGTTTTACATTACTGGCAAATATGGATCGTCCTCACTCCTGACCCGAGCTTTGTCAGACATATAGCATGCCATCAGGGCTGTGCTTGTTGTTTTTATAACCTCTTTTTAGTTTAAGGCATCTCGCTGTGATTTCGTGCCGTCGTTGAGGGCTCATTGTAGAAAAAAAAACATTGGGAAAAATGAGCAAATACAAGAGTGCACGGACGCGCGAGAGCATAATTGTATTGTGGCACGATGGGAACTACCGTTCATGTGCACTCCAGCGAAAACTATTGACAGAACTAGTGTGAAAATTCGGCAACTAGAAGAAACACGGACATGAAACCGACCGACTAGTGAACGTTCAGTTACCTCGCAATAGGGCTCACACTGTCTGACTCATCAAGGCGCCAGTAATCGCCTGGGAATCAGCCAATATCGTTTTTTTGGACCCGGTCCGGGGTGTACGATCTAGACTGAGCGCTTGTGCACCGAAAACGACACCGACATATAATTAATTTTGTTAATACCCACCAAAAGAACTGCTATTTTGTCAATACTTCTGTCAGTCACCAAAAACTCGCATATCAAAACGCAAAAATAAAGTTGACAGCCTAGTGCCGGTCAATTTGTACCAGTGCTAGTGAATTTGACGTGGAAAAGTTGTGATGCGAGTGTCTGCCTGCTTTGCTCATGGAGGAAAGACATTTCAAAACATTGCTAAGAACTTACTGTACGGGTTCCCAAAGGCCACCAGCATTCGCCCCTGTTTTGGTGACACCTGCATGAGAATAGCACTCGTCTGTTTTCACCTCGCCGTCCTAAACAGCAGCAGGGATCTCCCGCTGCGAAGAAGCCGCCGCCGCACGCAACCAGACGGACATCGTACTCACCTGGGCAGTCATGGCGGCAGCTCGCGCCGCTGCCGGTCGTCAGATGACTTCCGCTGTGACCGGAACGGCTCGGTTGACCTCCGTGCGGTCAGGCAAAGTGACGGCGGCACCTTGACCTGCGTGGAGCTGCTCGGCCGGGGAGGCGTGGCAGCCGCCGACGGAGGCGGCCGTCCGCGGGGCGCGTCTCGCTGGGCGCGGTGACCCAGCGCGAGTCGCACTGCGATGTCGCGCGGTGAGCTGGAGTGAAGCGGCGGACCTGCTGGCGGCCTGGTCCCGTCTGGTCTGGTCTGGCGAGGTCCGCAGCCGCCGCGGCGCTGAGTGGTGCGTGCCCCGCCGTTCCGTCGGCAGCCCCGCCTCTGAAGGTCCGGCCCGGCGGACTGGCGCACCTGAACTGCGGCGCCATCCGCTCGCTCCCCGCCCCCCGCCCGCCCCGGATCGCCGCAGTCTCTTCGCGCTGCCGACATGCGCGGACAGCGGCCGGCATACCGTCGTCGCCAGTATGCGCGGGCAGCAGCCGGCTCGCGGTCGCGACACCGTCGCATGCACAGACATAGCCTGCCCAGCCTGTGCGGTCGCACCCCTCCGGGTCGTGCTCCGACGAGCGGGATGTCACCTTCGTGGTTGTGACCGGCTTATTGCGATACAGTGATGACAGCGTGCGACCCCCCATCCGAATGTGTGACCACCCAGCTGGGCAGCTCGGGTTCGGCTGGTCCACATGCCAGCCAGTGTTCGGCGTGAAGTGTGCGATGAAGTGCATACCCACCGACGAGCAAGGCACACATATTTAGCAGACTCCCGACGCGTCTTCTCGCCGTTGATCTGCGGCGAGTCATTTGACAAACGACTGACATGGCCACTGGCGTCTCTCGTAAGAACGAAACGCGTACAATGGTAAATACGGCGTCGATCTCCGACCCGTCACCGGATGCTCGCCTACCGCACTGCCAGTATGACAGCAGGTGACACGGCCAAATGCCAGGGACCACACAGCCGGCGACCGGAGTACATGTGATGAAGTGCAACAGGCCTGACCTACACGGACACTCATGAATGCGGCTGAAGCCTAAAGGTCGCACATGGCGAGGCGGCCAGTGAAGCGGTTATGGCATATAAAGCCGGTAAGTCCAAAGGCCGAATGGTCACTTGTGAGCGGCCAGACGTCAGCTGCCCGACCGGGCGCGCTAAGACAACGGAATGCTGCCTATTCTCCTCAGACACTTCTGGTTCTCATGCCGGTGCAAGCCGAGCCAGACGGCAGGGAAGCACAAGCCAACATCATCAGGACGAACCGGCCGCCACCTGCCGCGCGCGCCGCGCTCAGACCGCCGGCCGCGCTGCCCTCCGGCCGCCACCGCTGGCCCGACGCGTGGCGCCTCGGGACACCGCCGCGCTCTGCCATTGTATGCTAACGCCCCGCCGGTGCGGCGTGCCGCCCCATGAGACCCACCGCCCCGCTCCAGATCCCTGACGAGCTCAGCCTAGTCCGCTCCAGCCACCGACTCGAGAGAATGCGAATAGCTACTCTACAAGTCGGCGGCTGTGGCCGATGTGGCACAGATGATTGAGGTCGTCGGGTTCGGGGCGTCTCGACGGCCGGGGTCGCGTGCGCGGTGCAGATGGTTACCAGTGTATGTGCGGGAGACCTGCCACCGCTCACGTCCCGGAAGACGCCGACGGTCTCGGTGATGCTCTCCGTGACACCCTGAAGGCGCCAACTCTCGGAGAAGCTGTCAGACACACACCCGTCTCCCGTGTCGGAGTTTATGCCGATGCTGGTGGCTTCACGAAACTCCACAGGAAATGGAGTTTGCATCACATTATTCTTGCAATCACTTTGATTTTTCCTGAGACACCAGGCGGATATTTACATTACCTCACGGCTTGGCCAGTCGCAGACGGAGAAGCTCGGCGCTTTATTGGACCGGAGTCGTGTGAGTCGATAGCCTACAGCAGCGACTCCCTCAATGACGTCACGGTACACGCCAATCTAGATTACACCACGTGACGCCCACTGAGCTTCGCAACGTAGACGTTCCTTGGCGCTCATATCGATCAGCTTACCGGCAGAGGTTCACTAATCGACCATTCACGCGCAAAGCCAGGAACACTGTTGGGAGGTCTTGCACACTGCAATCTGGTTCCATTTCACAAAGCATTTGACTAATTTGAATCAATGCGACGAAGCTTAACGCGGTTACAATTTTTTATCCAGAAAACTACTTTCAGTGCAACAAAAGGCATTGGTTAAACGATGTTATAAAGCAATCATTCGCATATATTACGAAAATGTTAAGTTTCATCAAGGATGTGTCATGCAAATATGTAATTAGCGACCCCATGGCATGTCCTAACAGTGGCTTGGCATCACCGTTTACCTTAACTTGGCCCCCTTGATATAAATTCCATGATATGCGACCGAAAAACCACAGCCGCCATTGTATCCTCGTGCGCTTCGCGGACAATGCCACAAACACACACAACTGAAAGGCATTATTACACCATAAACATTGTCAGCTTTGGTTTCTCTCTTAATCTCTTCACTGTAACGCTTAAAAAAATAAAATGACGCAGTTCGGCATCTCCCCAGAACCACAACAGGACAAAAGTAACAGCGGACGTGGGAGAATACTTTGAATCACCACCGACAATGCCCCGACGTTCGGGGCGCAACGGAATCGCACAACACATTGTGCCGCCAACCGACGCCGAAGACGCTGGGTTACCGGGACGATGATTCGTCTAACTGTAACCAGAACTCGTGCATGTGGTCGCGAACGAAGCTGTCGAACACCTCTTCCAGCTCCTTCAGGTACTTCCTCCCGACGCTCCCCTTCTGCAACACAGCACCGTCGGCTTAGCGCCTCCGCCAACCCGCCGCCGAACAGCAGGGGCGGCGTGGCCAGAGAAGCACGCTTTACCAGCACTCGCCGCCGGCGATGGATGAAGCAGAAATGCATCATATGAAGCACGGACGAGCAATCGTCATTGTCATCTGTCTGTTGCACATGACATATCCACTAATGCTTAGTTAGATGCAAGGGACGAAAAACGGTACGTGTGCCCGTCTTTCCACGGAGCTGGAGGTTACGAGGATTTCCAGCTCCATGCCAGCTTGTCATTTTGCTTGCATGTACACGCACAATTACTTACTCGTTACCACGGCTACTGTACACTTTTTGACAATCCTATTCAACGTATTGGCAAGCTCTTGGAGCGACTACGAAACACTAAGCCCCCGGCTTTCAAAATCAGTGGCCATCCTACCAGCAGTGGTACTTACACATAAGTGACTTTTCTTCCCCCTTAGCATGCTTTCACGTTAGCAAAAACCAACAGTTTTTGTCCTAAGTCCAGGTGTGGAACTATGAATATCAAAAACAGGGTATTCCGCGCTTGCACATGTGTCAAAAACGGCATATTGATGTTCCAGCTTCAGCGCACTCGCAGCCCATTCTGGCACAAAGAAACGGGTTATCTGTAATTTGCTCTTGAAGGCATTTTGACGACATTAGACAGCCAAATGCCACTGGGTTAAACATCACTAAAATTGTCTTGGCTATGTTTGCAGCAGAGTCGCCTGTTTCCGGCGTGGCTTTCCGCGGGAGAAGTCATGAGCTGGGGACGGGCGACGGGCCCTGGAGGTGGGCCCTGGCGGCCGGCACACGCCGCTGTCCGGGGAGTAGTGGTGAGCTGGGGACGGGCGACGGGCCCTGGAGGTGGGCCCTGGCGGCCGGCACACGCCGCCGTCCGGGGAGTAGTCATGAGCTGGGGCCGGGCGACGGGCCCTGGAGGTGGGCCCTGGCGGCCGGCACACGCCGCTGTCCGGGGAGTAGTGGTGAGCTGGGGACGGGCGACGGGCCCTGGAGGTGGGCCCTGGCGGCCGGCACACGCCGCCGTCCGGGGAGTAGTGGTGAGCTGGGGACGGGCGGCGAGCCCTGGAGGTGGGCCCTGGCGGCCGGCACACGCCGCCGTCCGGGGAGTAGTGGTGAGCTGGGGACGGGCGACGGGCCCTGGAGGTGGGCCCTGGCGGCCGGCACACGCCGCCGTCCGGGGAGTAGTGGTGAGCTGGGGACGGGCGGCGAGCCCTGGAGGTGGGCCCTGGCGGCCGGCACACGCCGCCGTCCGGGGAGTAGTGGTGAGCTGGGGACGGGCGACGGGCCCTGGAGGTGGGCCCTGGCGGCCGGCACACGCCGCCGTCCGGGGAGTAGTGGTGAGCTGGGGACGGGCGGCGAGCCCTGGAGGTGGGCCCTGGCGGCCGGCACACGCCGCCGTCCGGGGAGTAGTCATGAGCTGGGGACGGGCGACGGGCCCTGGAGGTGGGCATTGGCGGCCGGCACACGCCGCCGTCCGGGACGCACCGCACGGTTTCCCCTCCGTAATGGTAGCTGTCCGGTCCAGCCGCGCCCGTCACGTGACCTGGCGCCGGCGGGCAGTGAGCCAGCGGAGGCCGCGGCCGCGCAGCCGTCCGGCAAACTATCGGTGACACGTCACAGAACCAATCCCAGCTGGAGTACGCACCTTCAGGGACCGTATCATGTCCATCAGACGCTTCAGCGCCTTGAGGAGGTCCATGAGTGAGGTGTATTTCCCATGGCTCAGGCGCTCCTTGATGTCGTCCAGGCAGATAGGGTCCTTGAGTTTCCTCCACTCTGGCAGTAGCTGCGTAACACCGTACGGAATATACCCACGACACCAGAGCGTGCACTAAAACCAAACGTAACGTACATGGGCGGAGCGGGCCAGACCGTTCAAAAAAGCTCTAACACCGCAGTCCCACTTGTGTACACAATATAGGAGTTGTACAGTATTTCCATAAAATCCAAGCTTCGTGTAGGTAGGTACATAAAGGAGGGGACAAGCCCAATAATCCTAACATTCCCATGTCCGTGCAAATGGCTTCGTTCGCCAAGAATAACTTTCCAAAATGGACGGACGCCCGCGGGCCGCACTCACCTCCAAGTTACTGCGGCTTCTGAAGTAGAGGCAAGGATAATAGGCGGCATACAGCTCGAGCAGCAGGCGGCGTGCCATGAGGAGGTCGGCGGAGGCCAGGAGCCGCTCAGGGCGGGGGCGGTCCGGCCCGGCCAGCCGTGGTGGCTCCGAACACAGCAGGCACCGCCACTGGCCTCTGGGGACGCGGCAGAGCAAGGTGTTGCGCACGCTACCGGCCCGACCCGTCACGTCCTGTACGCTGCGCAACATGACAAGGCCGTGCTTTAACCCGCTGTGCACAGCACCGAGGGTTTGCTGCGCAGTGTGGGTCAGGGCGCCGCGACCAGGCTGCCTGTTGCCTGGCCAGTGAGCTCATGCTCGTGCTCATACCCATGTCCTCATTAGGTCATGCTTTGGTGAGAATACACGGTGTCCAAAAGATGACCATCGAAGGCAAAGAATACAACCGCTCTGTGCTGCGGCTCCGACATGGTGGCCTCACCAGGCGGAGGGCCCTGCGCTCCTGCGGGCCCTGCCGCTGCAGCTGCAGCCACCTCAATAACTCCTCATGCTCCGCAGAGCGCCACGTGGGAGTCCTCCGTTCGCCACACCACGAGACCCACCATCCCACCGATCACGTGACAACCCTCCGTTCGCCACACCACGGGACCCACCATCCCATAGACCACGTGACAATCCTCCGTTCGCCACACCACGGGACCCACCATCCCACAGACCACGTGACAATCCTCTGTTCGCCACACTACGGGACCCACCATCCCACAGACCACGTGACAACCCTCCGTTCGCCACACCAAGGAACCCACCATCCCACAGACCACGTGACAATCCTCCGTTCGCCACACCACGAGACCCACCATCCCACCGATCACGTGACAACCCTCCGTTCGCCACACCACGGGACCCACCATCCCACAGACCACGTGACAATCCTCTGTTCGCCACACCACGGGACCCACCATCCCACAGACCACGTGACAATCCCCTGTTCGTCAAACCACGGGACCCACCATCCCACAGACCACGTGACAATCCTCCGTTCGCCACACCACGAGACCCACCATCCCACCGATCATGTGACAACCCTCCGTTCGCCACACCACGGGACCCACCATCCCACCGACCACGCGGCGATCCTCCGTTCGCCACACCACGGGACCCACCATCCCATAGACCACGTCACAATCCTCTGTTCGCCACACCACGGGACCCACCATCCCACAGACCACGTGACAATCCTCCGTTCGCCACACCACGAGACCCACCATCCCACCGATCACGTGACAACCCTCCGTTCGCCACACCACGGGACCCACCATCCCACAGACCACGTGACAATCCTCTGTTCGCCGCACCACGGGACCCACCATCCCACAGACCACGTGACAATCCTCCGTTCGCCACACCACGGGACCCACCATCCCACAGACCACGTGACAATCCTCTGTTCGCCACACCACGGGACCCACCATCCCACAGACCACGTGACAATCCTCTGTTCGTCAAACCACGGGACCCACCATCCCACAGACCACGTGACAATCCTCCGTTCGTCAAACCACGGGACCCACCATCCTACAGACCACGTGACAATCCTCCGTTCGCCACACCACGAGACCCACCATCCCACCGACCACGTGACAACCCTCCGTTCGCCACACCACGGGACCCACCATCCCACCGCCCACGTGACAATCCTCTGTTCGTCAAAACACGGGACCCACCATCCCACCGATCACGTGACAACCCTCTGTTCGCCACACCACGGGACCCACCATCCCACCGACCACGTGACAATCCTCTGTTCGTCAAACCACGGGACCCACCTACCCATCGGCCACGCGGCGATCCTCCGTTCGCCACACCACGAGACCCACCCACCCATCGGCCACGCGGCGATCCTCCGTTCGCCACACCACGGGACCCCACCATCCCACCGACCATACGCTCCATCGCTGACCAGCTGTCGCGATCCCACCCGCGCCAACTCACTCCGCGTCGTCCTCGACCTCGCCGACGTAGCAGTCGCGGTGGAAGGCCCGCTCGCAGTAGTCACAGAGCACCAGGTCGCCGCCGTCCCAGCAGAGGACGCAGTAGCTGACGTTGGGGGAGCCCGGCCCGCGCTCCGGCGGCCGGTACAGCAGCTCGGCCGCAAACCCGATACCCAGCGGGTCGTTGGTGCGGTTCCAGGGCAGCGGCTCGCCAGACGCGTCCATCGGGCGCACCACGTGCGGCGAGGCAGGCGGCGCGGTGCCAGACGCACTGCCCACCGCTGGCGAGACGCTCGACGACGGAGGTGATGGGGCACCGGAAGCGGAGGAAGAGGACGAGGCACCGGAGGAGGACGACGAGGACGACGAGGACGAGTTCTGCGAGCTGGGAGCCGAGTCCGAGTCCGAGGAATCGTCCGAGACGGCCAGATCATCCATCAGCGAGGGCCGGGCGGGCGTGGCGTCGCGCCCTTCCGCCTGCCGGCCGCCGGCCGCAGCATCGCCCTGGTCTGGTGGCAGCGCCGGTGGCGCCAGGGGACTGGCCTCAGCAGGCAGCGCGACCAGTGGCGGGGCGGCGGGAAGCAGGTCGGCCGCTGCCGACGCGTCCGGCTCAGGCGCCTCCTCCGCGACCAGCTCCACCTCTGTGCCAGTGCGCAGCGGGTGACGGTGGCCACGCGGCGCGCAGTCGTCCGGGATGAGCTGATCCGTGGCGCCAGTAGCCGTGGCTACGGGCACGGCGCGTAACGCTGGCAATTGCACAAGGAAATACCGGCACCATAACGTAAAATTGCCATTCATCCATAATTCCATCGAAACTAAAATGAACCAAGCCGGCATTGCAAGAGGCGGTGCAGTCACAGGCTAGACGCGCAATTATTCCCAGACGTGCGCGTCCACCACGCACCATCTGTGCCTCCGTTCCACACCGCCTGAACAAGATGTGCGGCGCACACAGCCAGCTTCCCTACCCATCGAACAAACCCATCACGCAAAACAACGTAACCACTTCATCACAGCCCAGCTCCCACAACGCACCACGGAGCCGGAGCCGAGCCTCGAGCCCCGCAGTCGCTCACCGTCGCGCTCCGAGCCGGCCAGCAGCATACTGTTCAGCAGGTCACGCAGCGGCGTGTCGACGCTGACGCCTGCGCGGCTGACTTTGTTGCCGCGGCCGTCCCGCAGCAGCGAGGGCGGCCGGCAGACCGGCGGCTGCGGCTGCGGCTGCGGTTGCGGTTGCGGCTGCGGCTGCGGCTGCGGCTGCGGCTGCGGCTGCGGCTGCGGCTGCGGCTGCGGCTGCGGCTGCGGCGGCGGCGGCGCCGGGCTCAGCGGCCGCTTCTGAGCGCGACCGCCCTCCTCCGGCGGCCGGCCGGACTGCGGCTCCGAGGGCAGGTCCGCGACCGCGCCAACTTCCCGCCGTACCCGGTCCGCTTCAGCGCGGCGGTCGGGGGCGGCGACCAGCTCCGAGCGTTCCGCGGTTCGGTTCGGACCGTGCCCCGGGGCGGCGGCCTCCTCCCGCCGTCCTCGGCCCGCCTCCGGGCAGCGCCCCCAGACGGCTGCCGCGTCCCTCGGCTGCTGAGATTGATCAGGACCGTGCCGTATGGCGGCGGCGCCACCTCGCCCGCGTCCCCGACCTCTTCCCCGACCCCGCCCGAGTCCGCGTCCCCGACCTCGTCCGCGCCCCCAGCCCCGCTCCCCGCCCGTCCGTTGGCGCGAGAGGGTGTCCATCAGGCGCGCCCGCGCTCTTCCCACACCCGACTCCTCGCTCCTCCGACGCTTGCGAGTCGGCTCGCCCGCGGCCCCGCCTCCCTCTCGCGCGTGCAGCAGGGCCATCGATTTCTGGATCTTCTGCCGGAGCGCAGCCTTCCAGGCGGGCTCGGCGGTGACCGCGGCTGGCTCTGTCGTCACTACGTTCTCCAGCACGTCCACCTTGCTGTCGACGAACACAGCATTGTCGTCGTCTGTGCCCCAGTCCAGCGCCACGCCGCGCCACACCTCGCCGTTCGAGCCCGGCTGGCTGTGACCGGACGCGCTCGCCGGCGCCTGCTCCGCCGCCACGTCGCCCGACACCAGCACCGGCATGTGCACGATCACCATCTGGCGCGCGCCCGCATCCAGGGCCGGCAGCGCGGGCGGCGGCGACACCAGGGCCCTGTGCTCTTGGGGCAGAGTGGGAGTGTGGTGCGCGGCGGAGGCGCCGCCTCGTCCACGACCCCGACCTCTTCCCCGGCCTCGCTCCCGGCCCGTCCGCTGGGTCGTGAGGACGACTAGCGGGCGCGGGCGCGCGCGCACGCTGGCCACGTTCGTCCCTTCGCTCCTCCTGCGCTTGCGAGCTGGCGCGTTCGCGACGGCCTGTGCGTCCACCGCGTTCTCCAGCACATGCACCTTGCTGTCGACGAACACGCCGCTGTCGTCGGCCTCGCCACCCGCGCCCAGTTGGAGGCGATCGGGCTCCACCAGCAGCGCCTGTACCGCCGCCTCGGTGCCGGGCGTAAGCACCGGCACGTGCGAACTCGCCACGTCCTGCTGCCCGTCATCGACAGCGGCCGGCGCCAGAGCCGACGGCACACTGGAGGCTCGGGCGGCGCGCGGCAGACCCGACAGCGCAGCTGATGGCGGGATGGAAGCTGACAACGACGAAGACGCGTTCGGAACCAGCACGCCGGCGGCGACAGGCGGCTGGACTGACCGAGCTGGCGCTGGGCCGGCGGCGGCAGCCGGCTGGACCTGCTGCCGCCCGGACGGGGCCGGCGCGGTGGTAGCGAGCGAGGCGGTGCACACTGGTGGTACGCTCCCCGCGCTGGGTGCCGGAAGACTTATCTGCAATAAAGTCATGTTTCAAGCACGTTGCAGACAAGCGGGGTTTGTGGCTGAGCGCTGTGCGCTTTTTGCCACTACGTAAGGCACATGCAAAACTCACCGCACAAGACCGCAAGTCAGTACGACGCGTCTCTTTCGCGGCTCCGAAGCGTAAAACTTCCAACTCCTTTTTAAAGTTGACAAAACAGCTCGACTAACGCGCACGCACCTCCGGCGCCCCATCTCCCGCGTCCCTCACCTGCGCCGTCTCTTCCGCTGCACGATCATCGCGCCTGGACCCCGACAGGCTAACGGACGGCAGGGGCCGCTCGCCCGCTCGGTGCGCCCGCTCCCCAGATGTCCGCTGTGATCTGGGGTCTGAGCTCCACACCACTAATAAGTCGTCACTGTCCTCCGCTGCTAGGTCTGTCGGGCTCAGCTCCGGCGGCGGCCACTGGGTGGGCTGCTGTTTACGACGACGCTTCTGCTGCTCTAGCTGCTGTTGCTGCTGTGGCGGCTGCTCCGACTGATGTTGCTGCTGCCGTTGCTGTCGCCCTGGCGGCTGCCCCGGCGGCTGCACTGACCACTGTTGTCGCTGCTGCTGTTGCTGCTGTTGTCGCTGCCGCTGTTGCTCCGGCAGCTGCACCGATGGCTGTTGTTGCTGTCGCGGTTGGTGCTGCCGCTGCTGCTGCCTCCAAGCCTGAGCTGGCTCGGACATCTGGCCGCCCGACTGTGGCCAGCTGGCGGCCGGCACGCCGGCCTCGGCGCCGTCCGACCGCCAGCCAGCGGCCGCACTCGTACGCTGAAGCCGAGCCGCGGCCGCCACTCCGGCCGCTGGCTCGGCTTCAGTGCTGACGAACGTGCTGACCACTCGGCGGTGCAGCTCGTCCACCAGGCCGCGCAGCTCGGCCGAGACGTGCGACAGTCGCGCCATGCTGCGGAACATCAGCTTCATGTAGGTCATGGCGAACTCAGTGTTGGCGCGCTGATGGCAGCCAATCACCTGGCGCGAGGCCGCCAGGAAGGCGCGGCATATGGCACGCTTCGTCTCCGGCTGCAGACACGTGCCGCGGTCGTACAGCAGCACCGTCATGAGGTCGCCGACGCCTGCCGGTCAGCCGGGAGACACCAGCGACTGTGAGCGGCTGTGCGCGCGGAGGAGCGGACGGCAGCTGCGGGCACCGGTCGCCAGCACCGCACCATCGCTCGGCAGCGAGAGCCGGCCGCGGGGCCCCGCCCAGGCGACATTACTGAAATGCAATAACGAATCCGTGCACGGCATGCTACCATCCAGCAACGAGACGTCTGACGACGTGGGCCCGCCGCGAGGAGGGCCTGGAGAAGCTGGCCTGACACTGCGACAGCCTGAGCCTGTTCCGTGCGCCCAGCGCTGAAGTGTGACGTGAAACAAGTCTCGCCCACAACCGCGCTGATCCTGGGCGCACCTGCACCACTCACGCCGCATCCCTCTGCCCCGCGGAATGAGCCTTAACCCCATCCTTACGACTACCACATGGCATTCACGTCGGCTGTCGGCAATGTGATCAGCACCACACGTCTAACCGGCCCCGACGGACTATCACGCCCGCTGACGCAAACGGCACTGATCACAACTGCATTTCAAAGCACGGGGAACCTGCTGCGGCTGGCCATGGCCGGCCCGCCTGGGCACCAGCCCAAGAGCCCCCCGCTTCGCTCGCTCACGGTCTATGCCGAAGACGCGACGCATGGTGAGCTCGGGTGGCAAGAGGTCCGGCTGCTTTAAGTCTACCGACGCCAGCCGCTTGGCCAGCGCCGTCACGTGCCTGGAACACCGCCGCAGGTCAGCCGACACGGCGCTGGGAGCACAGGTCAGCACAGACAGCGGGAAACAAAACACGTCTAACCTGGCTATATCTAACCAGCCTTGATATTCAGATTCGACAAGACTCAGAACGCGGCAGATCGCGAAAAGTTGGAAAGCTCTGCCAAACAACAGTGGTGGTGGTGGTGGGGGATGGGGGGCACAAATATGAACCTCCACATGCAGATCAAGTAAGGTTCTACAGTAAGCGCAGCCTCAAGCAACGCGATGCACGCCAAAAACAAAGCACTACAGGACGTCACATCTTCCCTCCCCTCGCACCCACCCAGCGCGCTCCCAACGCCAAGCCACGAGCCCCAAGCCCATCATGCCCGGGCCGCCCGCCGCGCGGTGGCTCAGCCCCGGTCGGCTTCGCACCGACGCCGGTAGCCGCACCTGCTGTAGTGGACGCTGGTGGTCGGTCGGCGGCTGTCCAGCAGGTGGCCCACCAGGTTGGCACAATGGGCGGTGCGCGCCTGCACCAGCGAAGCGGCCGCCAGCTGCCCCTCCAGCTCACGGCCGAAATCGTCGTGTCTCTGGCGGCCCGTCTCCACCTGACGCAAGAAGAAGGCGCGCACCAGCGTCTGGTACCTGCCGGCCGGCCGGCGTCAGTGGCGGCCACGGTGCGGCGCGACGCACCAGCCCGCGGGACGGTGCGGCGGATCTGGCTATCCAGATGCTGCGGCGGCGCACGGGGTCACCTGAGTGCACTCGGGGTCGGCGCGGGCGGAGCGCGGCCGACAGCTCCTCCGCGGCCGGCGTCCGGAGCGGCACTACCAGCCGCCCGGCGCGACGGCAAGCTCACAGCTCAGGGATGGGGAAGACGATGTAAAGGATTGCTACGCACCGTTCATACTCCGCACGAACGCTGGCTGTGCTCTTCCGCTTCTCATCGGCGCATTCCAGCATCTGAGACTTCAGTTTGGCGATTTCCACAGAGACATTCATCTTGACCCCGCTGGAAGAGGCAGATTCTTTCAGCGACTTCGACAATGTTTGGCGCAAACTAAGCGATCTCCGACCTGTTGCCAGTGGGGCAAAATAATACTTATCCATCTGTCATGGATGCGGAACGGACGCTGGGTCCGACATTGGCACAGGAGGTCCGTACGACGCCGCGGAGGACCGAATGGCACGTGACGGAGCAGCAATATACCTGGACGTGCCCCTTATCTTAAAAGAAAATGACGATCCATAATTACCGCCAGAAGCGCTAGACGCGTTGGCAACGACGCAGTAAGACCGACAACACACACAGGGCGACTCAAACCTTGCTCCGGCGCACGACATCGGCCCTCTCCCATCACAAGCGGACGTGGCCCACGCACACCAACACCGGCCGCGCCGCCGCCTCCAGCCGTGGTCGTGCTGACCTCATGCCGTCCAGGCAGGAGCGCAGGGCGGCGCGCACCTGGGCCGCCTTGTCCGCCAGCGTGGAGGAGGCGTGCGACCGGTGGGCCGACAGGATGCACTCGCCGCACGCCAGCACCTCGCACCCGTCGCAGTAGTAGTCGAACGCCTGCGAACGGCACGCGGCTGAGAGTCGGCGGCGGTCGGCGCGGCGCCCCGAGGACGAGCACGACAGCTGGACAGTCGTCCGGCACTGCCGACCGTACTCAGTCGACAGATGAAGTGCGGCGGTTGGAGTCAGCACGCCCGAAGAGCGGGGCGAGAATGGAACCCACTCAGATGCATGGACGATGCTATGTTTGAAATACATAAGTGTTGACCCAGGGCCGCCAGTGCAGTGAGCGGACGCACCTTGTCATGCTCAGGGCATCGGTCCTCCTGCTTGGCGTCCGGCAGCAGCTTCACCTTGTGGTCCCACGTGGCCTTCGTGATCTTGTGCGCCTGCCAACGTAGCAGTGGGCCGTCAAAAGAGCGTCCCGAGTTGGCAATGTCGGTTACTTCCATGGGATAGCCACAAAACCTCCACTCACGGACGTCCCGGTTTTCGGCCGACTTGAAGACACATTTGGCACTGTTGGTCGGCCACGGAATGAAAACAGCCACGACAGCCAGCTGGGAAGTACGGCAAAATCCTAGATGCCAGTGGGCCGACAGACTGCCAACGCACAGCTACAGACACGCCGGTCTGAGTGGCACGCCGGCCTGAGTGACGCGGTGGTCTGAGTGGCACGGTGGTCTGAGTGGCACGGCACGCCGTGGACGGCTGGCTCTGCCGTCCCCGGCCCCAGAACGCCAGACAAGGACAGTGGCGCTGTGCCAGCTGAAACAAGCTTACAAGGGGTGGCCCCAGAGCGTGAAACGTGAGACAGTGACACTCTATCAGCTGGGATAGGCCTGCAAGGAGTGACTCCAGAACGTGAGACAAGAACAGTGACTGTGTCAGCTGGGACAGGCCTGCAAGGCATGACTCCAGAACATGAAACAAGAACAGGGACCCTGTCAGGTGGGACAGGCATGAACAACATGGAACCTTTTAGAGGGGAAAATACAGGACAGCTGTCACTGAACAGCACTACCATGCCACATCTGCCAACGACGTACACCTGTCTGCCACGCACCCCAACACCGGGCTGCAGCAACTGCATCACCGTCGCTACAGCATCTCCAGACCAGCGCTGCCAGCTGCCGCCACCTGCGGTGCCGCCCGGCGCGTGGACTCACATCAATGCAGTTCTGGCAGAGGTCGGTCTGGCAGTCAAGGCACGAGCCGGCGACGACGCTGGCGCTGACGCCCCGCTCTGAGCACTGCCCGCAGCCGGCCGCCTGCTGCCGCGCGTGCGTGTCGCGCAGCAGCTCCTCCAGCAGCGGGTGGTCCGCCACCGAGGGCGACGTGGTCTGGCAGAGGGCGCACTGCACCTCTCCCCCTGAAGCACATCAGAGACACCATCAGATGGGAGGTACATTGAAGGATGATGGTGGTGATGGTGATTTGGGCTTTAGAGTGTGCTGACTGCTCTGATCATGTGACGCCCATACATTGGGTACATTGGACCTCGACCACAGGGCACATCAGAGTTACTGTTTGGCATAGGGTGTACTGGATCTCACCTGCTTGGGCACATCGGTCACTGTCTGGCAGAAGGTATACTGGGCCTCATCCCCTATGGCACATCAGCCACTGTCTGGCAGAGGGACAAATGGACCTTATCCCCTAGGGCACATCAGAGTTGCTGTCTGCCAGAGGGTGTACTGCAGGGCCTCACCCCCTAGGGCACATCAGTCACTGCCTTACAGAGGGTGTACTAAGCTGCATCCTACAGAATGCAGTCACAAGTTGCAACAATGTACACAGATGCATGCCGGTCACACTATGATGTCCTGCCCACTGGAAAATGGCAGAAAGGCCCATCACGACAGCACAGGGAGCCCACATGCTGAGGTGGCCTGATCAGCCATTTGCGTCACAGCCTGAGTCTGTAGCACGCGTCAGCGACCGGCAGTACTGACCTGAGCCACTCTCACCAGCACACAGCTGACAGACAGTGTGCAGGCAGGCGGGCAGCAGGCGCGGCGCCAGGCCGCCGTACTCCAGGTACTGGCCACAGCGGGCACAGCTGAGGAAGCCACGGGCACGGCTGGCAGCCAGCGTCGCCTCCTCCTCCACCACCACCTCCGGGTCTGGGTCGACGGCCGTGCCGGAGGTGGGGCCAGGGTGTGCGGCTGCTGTTGCCACTGCCCCACCTGCCTGGCCACTCCCCTCAGACATTGCCACTGGAGGCTGGGTGGCTGTACTGTACCTGCAGAATCACCACATGATTAGTGCACTGTACCTGAAGCCTCAGCCAAAAACCTTCAACTTGTTGATGAAATTTCAGCAGAGGCCCCAAATTTGTCACTCTTCAGTGTGGAGTGTGCAAAGTTCAGGGCCTAAAATAAGTCAGTTGCATGTTCTTTGACCACAAATGACCTGCAGAGAAGCCAGATAATTCTAACTCCAACTTTTTCACTCCATCACAACAGAAAAACATTGATGTTTGATAAAAGGCAAAACCCATGCCAGCAAGGGAGGCCCAATGACATGCTCCACTTGGTGGCCAACCTTGCAGGATTGCAAGATCAACCAGCACACAATTGGGCCAGGCCTGGGGACATAGGCAAGACAATGACTATGAACCCTCCCTTCTGATTCAAGGCATTTGCCTTAAGTAACAGGCAATTTTATAAAATTTGGGCTGCCCCCATCTCCTGCAGAAAATTTTGGTTACATGCCTGACTCAGTTGCAGCAAGTTGCAAAACAAATAGAAAGTGTTGCCACAAACTGTTAGATGATAATCAGCACCCATTCACAAAAAACATACTTGGAGTTTGAACATTCAGCATTTTCCAGCTTGTAGCTCATAAATTGCTATGATTTGTTCCCTTCTATACACTCCCTTATTCTGCCAGTTTCTCGGTACCTCCCACTATCCAGCAGTTCACACAAATATCACCAGGTGCTCAAGTTGACACACAAACTGCCAAAAACCTGCACTTTAACCAAGGAATGCAGCCATGCCCGCATAGCAGCAACAGCCCATAGCACACGTTCAGTGCATGTGCAACACAAATCCATGTACTTAAAATGCTATGTGGTCCCAGGTCTCCACCAAGTTCAGCATATAGAGTCCATGTTTCAGGGTAATATTATTTTTGAGAGGCAATTTCACCAAAAAGTGCTCCAAAATATTTTTCTGTAACAATATTTTGAAAATCAATCACAACTTGACCTGGCCTGAGTTCATCACACTGAGTGACACACTGATGTCACATAAGCATGACACAGAGCATAAATTTTGTGCTAAACTCACATCTTGCTGGGCTGAAAGTGACACCACAAGAGACCAAATCAGCCCTAGTTTGCATGAATGAGCAGTGAACACCTGCCTGGCAGATCTCTCATTGAGACAGCTATATAGACTTGCTGCCTGCTCCCTCAGATGCAAGACAACATACAGATGCTGCGCAACTAAGTTTGGAGTCTCAGGTTTTGCTCATCCTCAAACATACATAACCATACGCATTGCTTGAAACCAATGACCATCAGGTGTTTCTGGCATACGAATGTCGGTAGAGTAATGGTTAACGCATCTGAGTTAACCGCCACGCGTCTGGAAACCAGAGGTACGGGGTTCGATTCCCCGCAGTGCCCGCCCTTCCTGCCTGGGTGAGACGCAGGCTGCGCCATATGGCCTCAGCAGCTGAACGCGTCGTAAAGGCCCAATGACATTCACATACCAGCGTAGGCCTCGCACTATGCAAAAAGGCCTGCTGCAACTAAATATAGCACGCACGCTACATAACACCGATGTGTACGGACGCACAAGACATTTGAACATAGTTCTACCACCTCAAACATCCACTACGTCTCTCATATAACGATAAAATAACATTTGTATTCGTACCGGCCAACCACCAACCCTTTTCCGCCGCCACAACCTGCTTCAACCTTTCCTGGCGCGTCTGCCAGCTAATTCCGCGACGACGGCCCTGTTCGATCCAAGGCCATAGAACAGGTTCGATCTGTCGTCAGCATGTTTGTCATCAGCAACCGTGGTACAAGGTAAAATGCTATGTGACGTCGTGCATCGACTGACGATGCCGACACAATTTTTTGTCAGCCCGTCAGAAAGGAGAGAGAATCGGTTGTTCCTTAACTGAAAAATTTCAATTTGTTTTTTAGTCGATGCAAATAGAAAACGTCCGCCATTTGGGGATCCCCAGTTCCAACAGTTTGCAGGTTTCTCCGGCTGAGCGGAGGGGTGTACGCTTACTCTATGTACAGGCAAGCCGCCGTTAACTCTGCGCTTTCAAGCCTGCGCTGTCAAGGGGCGATTTCAACGCAAAATGCGGTGTCCGTTTATGTGACATTTGCGTTGTAAGCAGATAGCAGAAGTGCCATCACCTATGTACTATAATCGTCCTTATGGCAAGGTTGCGCTTCTAAAAGTATTTCAAATTGGACGCCGTATTTGTTCAACTCACCATTTCCATCGATCCACGAGAATTGAATGAGACACATTGGGGTCGACCGAAAAATGGAACTCGAAGTCAAACGAGCGTGCTATGAGCAGCAGATAGCCCGATACAAATCCTATCTATCGCATGTACAGTGACATTTTTTCATTTGAATTACATGTATGCTGTACAAACAGTGGTGTAGGCAGGGGTGACGGGGCACATGTCTCCCACTTTAGGCTCCGGGGGGCTCTTCGGGGCTCTTGAAACCTACAACTAAGAGTCCGATTTGAAGGCCCGAAGGGCCCGAAAAGCCAGCTGGAAGTCCCATTCAGGAGCCTCAGCCCGCAGGATCGGGCACTCCAATGCCAGCCAGGTGGCCCTGCGCACTGATCAAGGCCCTGCTGAGCCGATAAGGGCCTATAGTTCGGTCAGACACCACGAGTAACGCACAGTCAGATCTGCGGCGGCATGGACCTAAGGGCTCATTTCCCAAGCGGGAACAAGGCCGGAGCCAACGACTGACGTTGATCGGGGCCCAACAGCGCCTAGCAGGGGGTCTGTGTTGTCAAGGGGCCCCGAGTTGGCCAGTCATTGTTCGAGGAGGCCCGAAGAGCCGAGAGGGTCCACTGGGTCCGACGATCAGGGGTGCGATCCGAGGGTTTAAGGGCATAAGGGGCTGGTCAGCATTATTCAGGGGCCCCATCTGCGAACACGGACACGCAGATAACGGTCACAATGCCCTTTGCGTCGATTGGAAGCCCCTGAGTCGGTATAGGCCTATATATCGATCATGTACCACTGTAACGCACAGTCGGCTCCGTGTCGGTATGGGCCTGAATACCCACTTCCCAATTAGCTCTAAAGCCGGGGCCGGTGATTTATACCGGCCGTGACCTTATGTCTGTCAGGGGCCCACAGCGCCTAACAGAGGGCCCTGTGCTCGCAAGGGCCCCGAGCCGACCAAGGAAAGTACTGGGGGTCTTGCTCTATAAGGATCGAAGAGATGCACGAGCGGCCCACGAGAACCGACGATCAAAAGCCCGGTTGGAAGGCATAGGGACCCGAAATACTGCCTGTAGGTCGCATGAGGAATCGTTGCCAACAGGGTCTTGGCCTGAAATATGAGTCAGAGGTCCTCTTGCACTATCTGAGGAGCCCCTGAGACAATGCGGTTGTCTAAATCGGTCAGAGCCTACAAACACTGAACAGCCGGCTCCATGTTTTTCTAGGCCCTTGAGACCTATTTCCCTAAGCAGAAACGAGGCCGGGGTCCGCGATTTGCAATGTTTAGGGATCCTGACACAACGAGGGGCTCCTTTGTCGGTCGGGGGTAACAGTGCCGAACAGGGACCTGTGGTGACAAGTGGCCCCGAGCCGGCAGGATGTTTAGGTGAAAGGGTCTCTTGTGACCAAAGACGAAGGGCCCGACGGCATGGCTGAAGGGTCCGAAGGGCTGACAGTAGGTTACATTAAGGACCCCCGCTCATAGGGCCGTGCTCTCAAAGGTCAGTGAGGTGATCTCTTGCGCCGATGACGACACCTGAAACAACGTTTCTCCATTTCGGTCAGAGGCCATGCCCAACGAACAGTTGGCTCCGTGTTGGTGTGAGCTCTGGGGGCCCATTTCCTAAGCAGAGACAAGGCCCGGCCCGCGATTTACATTGATCGGACTTCTGTATCGTTCAGGGACCCACAATACCCAACAGGGCACTCTGTGTCAAGACGGGACCTCGAATCGGCCAGGGAAGATTTGCTCAGCAGAGGCGAGGAAGAGAGCCCCAATGGCAGATGTTAAGCCCAACTGGAGTCCGTGCGCCAATTATCTGACCACCTGCGACGAGCAGGGATAATGCTGCGTTAATGACGACTCACCCGTCGGTCCGTTGTTAACAGTCAAAAGGCCTCTCGCGTCAGGAAGCGGACTAATGTGATATGACATATTCCTCTAAGGGCATCCGGATCAGCAAGGGGATGCCGCCCTGTGTCGCCAGATCGACGTCTGAAAAAAAAAACACCGCGGTGGGACAGTTCAGCCCCTAACCGGGAAGAACCATGCGCCCCGTATTGTTGTACTCAAGACTCATCCCTATGGGCAGAAGAGTGTTGTTTTTAAGGAGGCCCCTTTAACAGATGGCTTGGCTTGAGTTGCAGTTATCAGATGATGGCTTGGCTTGAGTTGCAACGATGGCTTGGGTTGCAGTTATCGTAAAACCGAACGGCGCTGGCCGCTGCAAGTAACGCCAGGGGATGGGCGTTGAGCGCGCAACAATGATCATCGTAAAATAATGCTTCGGAATGTCTTTTAAAATGAAGTTGTGCAGTATCAAAAATACACTGGGTAAATCTTTTGCTTTTTTGAGGATGTTCTCTGGGCAGATTAACAGTTACGGGAACGCGGAAAATAGAGACTTACCTTTACTCTTCCAGTTCCACCACTGGATTCCAGCACCACTTAGCGGTGCTATAAAGACCAGTACGTTATTGCCGTCAATCTAAAAACTGCACGGGTGAAATAGACACCCGGACTATCTCTGAATGTAAGATTTGGTGTTCTAAAGCGTTCTAAGGTACTTCTCTCAGGTGCGTCACCATTTTTGTCCACCTATTGGTTACATCCTAAAGTCAGCCGCAGGACTGACGCTCCGCGGACCATGGAGACTGACGCCTGACATCGAATTTTTCGTTGTGAAGAGATGCGAGCGCGCACGCTCAAAACTACGTTACATAACATGTATCACTAATCGATTCTGGCTGGATGTTGAACACAGTCAGAGAAAGATGGCGAATCCATGTTAATACAAGTTATTGACCCATTTTGATCTTCAATCTCCATTCGTACAATCCTTGCTATCTCTGTGCAACCCAGATAAAAATTCTGACCAAGTTTCTGAGTTTTGTCGGTTTAAAAAGACTCCAATGAAATTGTAACATGAAGAAAGCCGCTTATTTATTTCATGCAGTCATTTAACACATATTGTTCCCATCTTATTTGCTATAAACTGAAAGCAGAATTGTTCTCGCGGTAGCGTCTGGTCTATGTTCCAGTTATCGAATGTACAAATGTGAAACACACACACACACACACACACACACACACACACACACACACACACACACACACACACACACACACACACACACACACACACACACACACACACACACACACACACACACACACATGTATATATATATATATATATATATATATATATATATATATATATCCCAGTGGCTAGCTTTTCACCGTGGCCCACTGGTGGACGGAAATGAGGACGCTTCTGAAAGAAGTACTTTGAGCGCTTCAGGACATCATTTGTTATATTTAGGAGTCAGTCTGGCCGCATAATCCACGTGCACAATTTTTAAACCGATGATAAGAACGGATTGGCCCTTAAAGCACGGAGAAGTGTCGCAAGAGTCTGGTGGTGGAAATGTGAGAGCATAGGTAGAATCTATATTTTTCGTGTTTCTGTAACTGTTTTCTGCCCATAATACAGAAACAGTTACTGATAAGAAGCTATGTAATATGGTTTTGAACATGCGCGCTCCCAAGCATAGGCATAGGAATGTTTCAAAAAGTGGGGGGAGGGGGGCCAAGCTCAGGGAGCACTTCAGAAACTTTTCTGGAAAACAAGCCTGATGACCGGGGAGAGGGAGGGGTAAAGATGGAGGTTATCGCTCTTTATTCAAATGTAATGACTGCTATTCTGGATATGCATCTAGAGCCGATTCTCTCTGGTGCACACTCTTGCCTATCCGACTCATTTATGCTATTCGAGAGATAAGGCTACCCAGCTTTCCAATATCACTCGTCCATTTCAACGTTGTCTTTCCTGGGGAGTCGAAAGTCCACGAGCGGGTAGGTAGGCATTTTGGACTATTGGGGAGGCATCTGTCTCCACAGGTTAGATGCCAAAATATGGCCTACGCATAGGCTGGTGATAATTTTGAAAAGTGAATTGATGGCTCACAACATAGCAGATTTTGCATGCGCCTTCATTTCGCTGACTGCCTTTTAAGAGATAAGACTTGTTGCGGCATTTTAGGCGGAAACAGATTCGAAAGCTTGAAACTGACAAAATCCTTATGACAAAAGCCATAGAATTGAAGATTCTCCTTTGAAAACCAGGCCACAGAATGAAGTTCTTCTGTCATATATTCCATGTCTGAGCCCTGCTCCCGTCCGCGCGTCAGTGGCCACTGTCCTGGCCCGGCTGTCTCCGAATGACTGACCGCGAACTGATGGTATGACTGCTTTGTTGTACAGCACTGAATCAGCATTGCTACTAATTGGGATGTAAAGCACGTGTTGGACACCTGCAACAGTATCTTTTTCCGAATTATCTTCCCTTACACCACACCACACCACACCAGAAAAATGCTGCCGGGAGGCTGCCTTCTTTAGGTATGAATTGACCCAACGGACATTTAATCGCCCGTCATTCAACGTAGATGACTTGATCTGATGATCTGATTACATGTGTAGACAGGGGGAAGCCA